AAAGCTGCTGCCAGGAGGCCAGCTTTCTAACTCAGTGGGCACTAGGGTCTGTTGCCATTTACGCGAGAGACCAGGGAAGGAGGAAGACACTTCTCCCCGTCCCTCTACCCACTCCAATAAAAACACCAACTTAACAGGTTTTCCTGGAAGGAACTTCTACACTCATCTGGCAACCCAGCTTTTGCGGCAGCCCCCTGAAAGGCCCTGGATGATGTGCCTCCCACAGTCAGGTGGGCTTGAACCCCCAAGTCCCACAGGACTGGCGAGAACACAGAAACAGTTCTTACAGGCACAGGAGCACCCCCATCCCCCCGCCAGCCCTGACCATGGCTGCTCTCCACCCAGGCCCACCACAAGGTAGGCAGGCAAATACATTCATCTCCCAGTTTCTCCCTGGGAAGGGAGTCAACTACACACTTTCCCAGCTGCTGCCTTAGGTGCAGCTCCTATTAGGCCTTCCTATATGTGATGACTATGACACTCCCCCCTTTGGGACACTGGCAGGTCTTGGTGTTTCCACAAATACTGGGAGCCACTGAGAAAAAAGAAGGCTGAGAGAATCACCGAGGTTTGAGAGCCAACCAGAAGCCTAGGTGGGGCTGATGGACAGGCTTCACCTCCTACAGAAGACCATTCTGTGCAGACTGGGAGGGGAGGCTTTTTTACCTAATACCTAGAGATATCACAGAGTCAAGGAAAATTAAGAAATGTGCTCCAAAGGAACGCACAACATCCAAAAACCAGATCTTGATAGAATGGAGATGAGTGACTTATCCAGTAAGAGTTTAAAACAGCTTTCGTCAAGATGATCACGGAGCTCAGAAACAAAATGTGAACTGCTCCACAGAGGTTGAACTTCTCATTGCCAAAAAGAAATCACAGAGCTACAGGACACAGAAACTGAATGGCAACACTCAATAGAGGGGTTCAGCAGCAGAGCAGGCAAAGCAGAAGAAAGGACTGGCAAAAACAGGGTAGTGAAATTCATCACAGTAGCCAAAAGAAAAATAGATTGCAAAGTGAAGCTGAAGGAATTCACGAAGCAACATCAGACAGACCAAAGTACACATCACAGAGGCCCAAGAAGGAGAAGATAGAGAAACTACTTATTATTTATTTATAACTTATTCACAAGGATTATTTATATACATGATGGCTACAAACTTCCATAATAAGGCATTCAACATCCAGGAATGCCAAAGGATACCGAAGAAGAGGAATCCAAAGAGACCGACACAAAGACATAGTACTGATATAATCGAGTAGTCAAATGTCAAAGATTAGAAGAGAATTTTGAAAAGCAGCAAGAAAAAGCAACTTGTTAAGACCAGCAGCAGGTTTTCCAGCAGAAGCATTGCAGGAGAGCAGGCAGTGGGCCGATACATTCCAAGTGCTGAAAGAGAAGCCACTAACCAACACCACTCGACCCTGCAAAGTAAGTGTTCAGAATTAGGAGAGACACAAAAAGTTTCCCAGGGCAACGAAAGCTGAAAGACCACTTTTGAAACAGTGATGTGTTGTGCTACAACCTTAGGATGGCTACTAGGTCAGAAGGCAATAGGAACTTTTCAGCTCTACTGTAATCTTATGGCACCACCCTTGTGTATGTGGTCCCTTGTGCACTGAAAGATCACTTTGAGGTACAGACTATACTAGGAACAATTACACGCTAACAAATACGACAGTCTAGAATGAACAGGTAAATTCCTACAGGTGACCTACCAAGAGTGAAAAATGAAAAAATACAAAATCAGAATGGATTGATTACTACACAAGGGAGACGGAAGCAGCAATCAAAAACCACTCCAAGAAGAAACGTCTGGGGACAGACTTTCACTGCTAAATTCTTCACAAAAATTCAACAAGAATTCAAACCAATCCGTCTCACACTCTTTCAAAAATAGAAGACAACAAAATACCCCCCGAATTCATTTTGTAAGGCCAGCCTTATCCCAATACAAAATCCAGATGAGGACACCACAAGGAAAGAAAATTACAGGCCCATATCCCTAATCAACATCAATGCAAAAACCTCAATGAAATGCTAGTAAACCAATTCAACAATCCATTAAAGGGTTCACACACCATGATCAAGTGAAACTCATTCCAGGGATGGGTCACAGGTAATTTGACATCTATAAATCAATCAGTGTGACACAGCACAGGAACAAAGTAAAAGATTAAAATACTACAATCACCTGAATACATGCAGAACAATCACTTGACAAAATACAACTTGTAATAATTCTCAGCAAAGTGGGTATAGAGCGATGTAACGAAACGCAACATCACGTTCATGGTGAAAAGCTGAGAACCTCGGGGCACAGCCTACTTCTGTAACTGTATTGCTATAGTGGAGAGAACTGCAGTGCAGTAGGTTTATTCACATCAGCATCACCACAAACACCAGTAATGTGTCACATGATGACATGGTGACAGCAATGACATCACTAAGCAACAGGAACTTTTCAGCTCCATTCTAATCTTACGGGACCACCATCATGGCTGTGGTCACTCATTGGCTGAATTGTCGCTATGTGGTACATGACTGTATTCAGGAAACCTCAGACTCCACCAAAAATTTTCAGGAATAACTGAACTTATAGAATATAAAATCAATATATGTAAGTCAGTTGTTTCTGTGACAGAAATTAAGAAAATGTCATTGATAACAGCACCAAAAAGAGTAAGATGCTTAGAAACACATTTAACCAAGGAGGAAAAATGTCTTTACACTGAAAACTACAAGATACTGATGAAAGAAACTAAAAAGAACCCAAATAAGTGGAAAGCTCTTCTGTGTTGGTGGATTGGAAGAATAAATCCTAACCCCAAATAATCCATATTTTCAATGTGATTTCCATCAAAATTCCCATAGTGGTTTTCAAATAAATAGAGAATAAAAATCCTGAAATTTGGTGGGACCTCAAAACAGCATGGATAATTTAAGCCATCTTAAGAAAAAACTATGTCCAAGGTATCACACTTCCTGATTTCAAACTGTATTACAAAGCTGTAATAATCAAAGCAGTATGGTGCTGGCATGAATACAGACACTTAGGTTAATGGAGCAGCACGGAGTGATCAATAAACCCATGCATACATGCAGGTCATTTTATTTTGAACAAAGGAGCCAACAATACCCAACTGGGAAAGACAGAGTCTTTAGTCATTGGTGTTGGAAACAGTGGACAGCCACATTTAGAAGAATGTCACTGGCCTCCTATTTCATACCATAGACAAAAACCAACTCAAAATGGATTAAACACTTCAATATAAGACCTAAAACTATTAAAACTCTCAGAAGAAAACACAGAGACTAAACTCTTGACCTTGATCTCGACAATAACCTTCCGGATTTGACACCATAAGCAAAACTAAAAACAAGGGAGATGACACTGAACGATAAAGCGTCTACTCAGAAAAGGAAATCATGAAAAAATGAAAAAGGCAACCAATACAATGGAAGGATCTATAAACAACATGTCTGATCAAAACATAAAAGGAACCCAACTCAGTAGGGACAACAAGAACGAACTAATTTAAAACTGGACAAGGACCAAGGCCCTAGGACAGACATTATTTCAAAGATATATATATGGCCAGCAGGTACTTCCAAAGTTGCTCAACGTCGGTAACCATGAGAGAAATTCAAATCAAGAGCACAATGAGGTATCATGTGACACCTGCTGGGATGTCCATTGTCAGAAAGACCAGAGACTCCCTTCATTTCACGACATCCTGCAAACAGCCAGTTTGCTGGTTCCATTCCTGCTCAGGACACATGCCTGGTGCCTGGGTTGTAGGCCAGGTACCTGGTTGGGGGCACATGAGAGACACAACTAATCCATCTTTCTCTCTCACAGTGTTATCTTTATCCCTCACTTTCTCCCTCCCTTCTCCTCACTCCAAAAAATAAGTAAAATCTTTAAATAAATAACTAAAATAAAACTTCATACAAAGAAACAACATATGCTGGTGAGAATGCAGAGGAAAGAAAACCCTTGCACACTGCCAGTGAGAATGTAAATTGGTACATCAGCTATTGAAAACAAGTGGAATTTCAGCCCAAAGAAACAAAATAGTCACAAAGAAATATCTCCACAGCTGTGTTCACAGCAGCCCAGGTGCGGGAACAAAACCGAAGTGCCCACGAACAGATGAATGGATGAAGAAAATATGGACACACCCACAAAAAAAAACTGTTAAAAGGAAGGAAAAAACTTATCAATTGTGGTAAGATGAACCGGGAAGATATTATGCTAGGTGAAATAGGCCAGACAGAACAAACCAAACACAACCCGGCATCAGGTACATAGGAAATATTCTTTTAAAGAGTCAAAGTTATGAAAAAAAAAAAGAGTAGAAAAGTATCTGCCAGGGCCTTGGAGTGGGTGAAACAGAGCCAGGTTCATCCTCAGTTACAAGAGATGAAGGTGGCCTGAGGATCTATTCTATGAGGATCTATTCTAACGTATACCACAGCGACTAGTGTTGGCAATGCTGTATTCTAACTAACACTGAAAGTCGTTCTCAGCCAGGAGGAAGTCCAAGTGTGAGGTGATGGATGTTCTCATCAACTTGATGGGGGGAATCCTGTCACATTATTTACATACAGCATAGCAACTTTAACTATTGCTTTATCTATGTACAATTTTATACTGAAATATCGTACAATTTTACTTGTCACTCATACCTCAATAAAGCTGGGAGGAAAATTTGGGGAACACAGATTTCTTAACCAGCATTACACAAAAGTAGTAGCAACTGGAACAATGCAGCCCTTTTATTTCCATGGGCAAGAAACAAAGTGTTGTCTTAGCCCAATGAATACGCAGACCCAAACCCTTACCTCCCCCCTTCCTTGCTCAAATCCAAAAGGGTTATTAGCAACATGGGGGCCAAGGAAAGATAGAATGACACATCATCACATGTGAAATAGCTGGGAGGGAGGCCCCCAAGGATGGTCCTTTTCTAGTTTCCCGAATTCAGACGTTTTCGTGGTTTTATACCTATTATTAAATAGAATACTTTATGACAGAAGAATATCTACAAGTTAGGTTTTGGGGTGGAAAAAAATCACTGAATTTTATGTCCTCCTTTCAACACTTCCAACCATGAGAGACTGGGGAATTAGAGCGCATCACGCGTGCATCTGAATAACTCTAGGACTCCTTTATTGCTATGTATTCTCTCATGATTGTTGACCTCTCTCACGCTCTCCTTCATACATGTGTTTGACAAACAACAATGGAATTCTTACTTCCTCACATTACAGCATAAAATGAGGCAACAAAACACAATGTCCCTGTCAAATAGGAGCTCGTTATATCTAGTTTGGGAAAAGGAGACAGAATGCACAGAACATCAGATGAATGGATGTTGCGAAGTGCGTTAAGGACAAGGCTGTAAAATGCAACACTGAAGAATGTGATGGGGGAAGATGAAGCAATAAGCACTCGGCTATTCCTGAGAATTCAGATCTCAGTACCGATCAACAGCAGCTTCATCCCCAATGTCCCATTTGTCCTGGATGCGCTTGAAGGTTCACTGCACAGTGGCACTATTTCCACTAAGTGATGGAGCATTCTGGGCATGTGAAGGAATATTATGAATCAAAATAATCATGAGTCACTTTTTTTACGGGGCTCTGGTGGCAGTTATCACTACTCCCAAATTGAACCAGCAGTGGTATTTTCCTAAAGGTAATCGAATCGGAGGAAATCTTCAACTAACCCAGAACCAGTTAAAAGCCAGAAGGAAAGGAGGTAATCTCCCATTCATGTAGTATTTCAAAGTCCTAGAAATCAACATTCTGTGATACCTTGGAAAGCCCCCGCCGCTGACAGGGCTTTTTTTTTTTTACCTCTTCACAATATCCATAAAATTGACAATTATTACTATTCTAGACTTTCCAAACCTAAGAGTAACAGTAAACAGGTGACTTTGGGTCACAGAGTTGGTAACCTGTCATTGTTTTGGGAAATATTCATACTTAGCACAGCAATACAGCATATGCACAAAGGAAAAATTTGGAAAAGCTACAAAAATTGAAGGTAGCAACATAAATACAGTATTTACAGGGGCACAGAATGGTCTCACTGAAGTCAGTCATACAGACTGTACCACATAGTTCCGCCTCATGATTAAAAGACGTTACTGACTATATGGTGCTATTTAATGTCTTACTGATCATGATCTGTCTGCTCTTACACGGTCATTCTAAAAACAGTGGCATGCATACTCTACCCAGAGGAACATGTCCACCCCTGCAAAGCACTGTCTCTGGATTGAAGAAAGAAACTCTGCTGGTACCCACCAGGATGACAGGAAAGGTATTCAGGGGTGAACCTGACCACTTGCACAATGACCAATGGGCATGCGTAACTCCATGAACTCTAATCCAGCAGACAGTTGGTTCCCTGATACTACACCTGTACCTGCACATTGCCACTCAGCATAGACCACAGAACATGTGACTTTGTGAATTATGACTGTGACCTTCAGAGTGGCCTCACGCTGGGTCACCTGACCCCGCGAACTTTTCTTTTCCTGACCTTGATTGGCTAATTCATCAGAACCTCACTCATTAACCATCTAAACACACAGGTTAGTGAATGCAGTTATAAAACGGTATACCAATGACATACTGGGCTCTGGAAGGTAACGGAGAGTTAAATTTGAATAGGAAAAGTGTCCCTGTTAGAGGAGCTCATTACTTCCACACCAACAGACATGAAAACAAAACAAAATCCGCCAACTGAAATGTTAGAGGCATGAAGCGTGTTATAAAGTAAATGGAGGTGGGCACGCCATGCAATCTTCAGTTGATGTATCATGGAACTGCACAGCTCAAACCTATATAATCTTATTCACCAATGTCACCCAATTAAGTTTCACTACAAAAATGAACCAAATGGTGGCAATTTCGACAGGGTGGACAGGAAATCTCCAGACTCATCTCTAAACCACTAGCTAGGGAGTGTCAACGTACCACAACTACACCTCTGGAAATATTCCAGACACAAATGGGAAAGATCAGCTTCCATGTGGTCTCCCTTGACCTAGAACTAGTCCATGAAATGGACCTTCAGCCTGGTCTCCTCTCCTTCCCCTCTTCTCTCCTTCCAAAGACCACCTCCTGTTTGTTCCATCTGCTCCTTGATTCCCAGTACCAACCTTCATTCACTATGTTTCCACTTCTTGATGACTAGGTGGTTACCCTTCCTTTCACGTGGACCCTCACCCATCCCATTCTTCAAGTCTTTGCTCTACATCTCCCCAAAGCCAGTATCTCTGGGACACCCTAGTGACCTTGCCTTTGTGAGGAGTCCTACTGTGGCCAATGAACACAGGCAGACAGACCCAAAGCAAGTGGGAACGGCCAAGGTTATTATGAGAAGAATGAAGTGTTGTGAGGAAGATAACTGGCTGTGTTCAGTGTTCCTGTGATGACGAATACTACTCAGGATCTCAACCTGTATGACTGAGGGGCATCTCCATTTTATTTACTACTCATGCAAGCAACTGACACGGTAGTAGCGTGTGCCTGTGCTGGGCTGACAAGGGTAGCATTAGAAGGCAAACCATAGACTCCAAAGGGAGCCCCTGATTTGTTCTTGCTCAAATAAAATGTAATAAATACCATCCCCCACTGTATAGCATTTTTACTCAACGTCAATGATACTCTGTCTCCAACCTTAACTGTGTTTCTCAGTGAATGCCATGCCTAAGGCAGCTACTTCTTTGGTTTTCCCTCTATGACTCTGGACACTTCTGACCATCCCCTTTCATAGACCTTCCTCAAACTCTGAATGCTTACGCATCCAAGGTACAGTCCTCACGTGAACCCATTCCTCCCCCCACATCATCTTTAGATCTCATCCTCTGCCACGGATGCAGGTAACAACTGTGTACAAAACAATCCAAAGTAATACCTCTATCCCCAATCTCCACCAGCTAGTCCACACGCCTATCTTTACCTCTAAAATCAACATCTTAGTCCATGGGTGTTAATATAAATATCTGACCAGCAAAACAGATCTCTTTCTTAGCATACATTCGGAGAAAACAAACCTTCCCCAGCCTGGTCCATGGTGGTAACACCATTCATTCGGTGGCTGAAGACCATCACCATCCTGAGTCCCGCTCTTATTTTACCCACGGGCACCCCAAGACTTCATGAAATATGACTCACAACACTCTCAAAACGCATCCTGGATCTCAGAACTTCTCCACACGTCTACATCCACCAACCCAGCACAATACCTTCACTCCAACTATTGAAGCTACCATGTCACTTGCCTCTTTCATTCCAGTTTGGCTAATTTATCAGTACTGATTTTTGTCCTACCTGACTTGGGTTAGTCCATAACGAATACTCAAGAATAATGGAAACCTGGAGTGCTGTAGAAATCGAAATTTGGAACCTCTCAAACCCAAAGCAGCTGACAGGTTAATCATGAATATAATACACCCATTAAACAGGGCAGTGACTTTTGCCCCAGCCACTCAGTGAGAACTATACCTTTGGAAAAAATGGTAAGTGAGACATCATGGGAGGGGAAACCTGTGTAAGGGCCTATAATTCTTAATAATGAATGATACCTCAGTTCTGGAGTTTAATTGTCTTCTGAAAAAAATTAAGGAAAGCTAACAGGACTGTATGATCCTGTGTGATGAAGTACGCAGAACAGGCAGCAGAGAATATTCTAACTGGGAACATACATACAGAACTGGCATTTTCACCCAACTATAAAGCTCCGCTTTGCAATTAACTTACTGTCCCTTTCAGTTAAGCCATTTACCAAAAAAGCCTGCATTTTTGTGCAAATGATTCATCACTTATGAAAACTTAAGAAATAACAAGCATGCCCTAACTGGTGCGGCTCAGTTGACTGGGTATCACTCCGCAAAACCGAAAGGTGTCAATTCCATTCCTGGTGAGGGCACATGCCTGGGTTCTAAGACAGGTCCCTAGGTAAGGGCATGGGAGAAGCAATTGATCAATGTCTCTACCTGTATCTCCCTCCCTTCTCTCTAAAAATTTGTAAATAGAACCTAATAAGAAATAAATGAAAGTAGGGAGAACACTGCTGATTTACCCATCTATGTAGACTATCAATCTAGAGTGAACCTGAACATGAACTCCCCGCCTCGCCTCACCGCCAGCTCAAGAGACCGTTGAGCACCTTGCCACAGAGACAGCAGTGCCACATCCCTAAGCTGGGCCACCTTACCCACAATACAGTCTTGTCCCTCCGTCACCAGAATGTACTTCATTCTCCACCTCTTAAGTAATTCCAAGTGCCCCTCACATTCTATGCCATGGTTTAAACGTACAACTTCATTTAACCCTTCAGATGACCCTGTCCCTGCTTGTCCTAGGGGTCACCAATTCATTCATTCCTCACAAGCCGCCCGTACAACAGCTCCTCCTCAGGGCAGAACACCAACTCATGTACACACCAGTATCAGATTTCTAACTATCATCAATACCCCCACAGCTCCTAAAACCATGGTGGCAAAGTTTGCTGACATACAGAACAGGGCACAGCTTCAAATGATCACCCTATAGAACAGTTCGTAATTATAACAAAATTGAACTTTAAAGGAAAGACATTTAGGGGACACCAAGTGATCACAGTTGATGGCACCAATGACAGGACCAAGGGACATCATTTGCCACCTGATGTGAATCACCAAGGTACACGCCAATTATGAAGCACTCCTGCCAAAAATGTGTTACGTAATCTTTCTCCCGAACACCAGAAATTCAAAATCCAAGAGACCACTTTAAAAGCTGTAAGGCATTACCTTTCCCAGCATACCCAAGTCACCAAGGTGAAAACAACAAATGAGAACCTTTTCGAGATTAAATTACACTAGAAACCTAACACTTCAATTCAACTCAGCATTGTTTTTCTGGGTTCTGAACGAGGAGAAAAATTGCTGTAAAGGACATGACTAGAGCCCTGGCCAGTGTGGCTCAGTTGGTTGGAGCATCATCCTGTAAATCAAAGGGTCACAGGTTTGATTCTTGGTCAGGGAACATGCCTGGGTTGTGGAGTCAGTTGCCAGGTCGGAGCGCTAACAGGAGGCAACCGATCTGTGTTTCTCTCTCACTGATGTCTCTCTCCCCAACCACTCTCCCTCTTTCTCTGGAATCAATATATCCATAGGTAAGAGTTAATAATAATAAGAATTAATTACTAAATAATAAACAGCATTACTAGAACATCTGATAAAATCTTACTACAGACCAAATACAAATGCAATATATTTGTAGTATAGTACTGATAAATTCAGTTAATTTACACAACTCTATCAGGTTTAATATAAAAGGGCTCCCAAGCTCTTAGAAAGTGAATGCTAAAGTATTTGGGGTTAAAGGGATACAGTATCTGCAACTTACTAACAAATAATTCACCAAATCTGAATAAATGAGGGCAAATGAGGGGAGGGGAAGGGGGTGTGGATGACAGAGAGAGGGAGGTAAAGTAAGAGAAAGAGAACACAACACTGTAGGAAAAAATCTGGTTTGGTGAGTAGTATATGGGGGGGTTCTCTGTATGATTCTTGAAACTCTAAATCCACAATTATTTAAAAGTAAAAAGCCAAAAGAATGTATTCTTAGGCAGTTTATCAACCTCTAAGAAGACTCTTATTTTGAAAAGGTCCACAGTGTCTGCCTCTGACAACCAGGTGACTCTTGTGATGAAAGGAAAGGTGGGCTATTGTTTGTTTGCAATAAATCATCTATCACTATTTGCTGTATTTTATCCACGGCCATTTAGAGTTGAAATTAAACTCAGGTTAAAAAAATAGCATTTTCACCTATTAGATTGGCTAAAATGTTAAAGGATTAATACTGTCCCTCACATTGAAGTTCTTAGGAAAATCAGCACGGCCCTGGCACGACGGCTGTGGGCTGGCCTGGGAAACAGTTCAAGGGTGATTTTACAGGACCCACCAAAATCAAGGGCATGCAAAACTGATGAACTCCAGCTGCCACTTATAGAGATCTATTTTATAGCATCAGGAGCACAGGAGCATGACTAGAATTATATACATCACAACATTATATGCAGCAGCAAAAACGAATAAATAGTAAATTGCATTTCCCAAACAGAGAAATGGATGAACCGAATAGGGTATATACTTGACATCCAATGAATAACCTATAGCTAAGTTATATTTATTGTTTTGAAAATACATCCACAATATTATAAACATCAAATTACAAAACATGTACCACAATGATGGCATATATATAAAATAAATCCAACATAAACTTATATAAGCTGAGAAAAGTTAACTGCTTTACCATCAATGCCTAACTATTTCTCCCCTAGGAACTAGAAATGGAGGATGAATGACCACTGATTGCTTTAAGTTGGTGAAAGACCCATTTATTTTTGGTGGCCCAGTCAATGTCCTAGGTGTCAAGACAGTCTATTGAGACAGACTGGGCGATGTAGTGAGTTCTCTCCAGGCAGAGTTCAAACCTAGAATGAACTCAGGCATCTATACTAAACCCGCAACAAAAGAAAGTCGGTGCAACAGGGGTAACAGTGAAGTATATTACTTCCCACTTTTCACCCCAACCCCAAAAGAAAATTTCAGTGATACTAAGAAAATTCGGGAACCATGGATTCTACAAGATAGTGTCACCATGCCTCCCAATGTCGGTGAGAGGGTGTACTGCCTCCCACAACCCAAGTGTTGAGGGCAGTCAAGTAAAATGATGGGACATTGGGAAGAGGTCAACTCCAAATCCTAGTCTAGAAGGGTATCTACTAGGTCCAATGAAAACAGAACAAGCCAACAGTTTATTGCAGGTGACACAGATGTCATAAAATGATCTTGTTTGGGACCTCAATAAAAACTGTGGGCTCATGATTCAAATGAACAAGAAAGTCTCTTAAAAATGGTACTCTAATTGTCCATGGGAGACACCTGGCTTGTGAGAAAGTCAGGCTGTTGGTCTGGGTGTGACCAAGGTGTCCTCATGCTGCATAATTACATTTAACACGCACCTGTATCTTACTCCCATCGGTAAACTAAGACATGGATCTTAAAAATTCAATGAGGATAAATAAAATAGGCAAAATCACGTGATACGTTCAGAGCACAAGAGAAGTCCGAAACAACATTCCAGGCAATTACTTGCCAAACAGCAGGTCAGTCCTATTCCTGAGAAACAAAGACACAATCGGCTTCCCAAAGCGGGGAGCATGACAGCATCAGGGGGACGCTGTGGATGGAGCCACTTCCGCAGGTGTCTAGGATGCTTTGTCCACACGTTCACGACCTGGGAGAGGACAGAGGGAGATGCTGCAGATCAGTATCAGTCAGGGACTTCACTGTCACTCCATGGAACATGACTCCCAGGGTCCTGATGCTAAGGATCCTCAAGCTACAAAACCTAGGTGAGCTGACAGCCCCAAATCAATGAGACCATCCTCTTCCTGCGTCGGGCCCTCTGCTGTCCCGTGAGTACCCATCTGCCACTCCTGATGACTTTCATGTCATTCCTCCAACAAATGCATTCTTTAAGCTAACATTCTGTGTCACTGAATTCATATTTCAGATCAGGATCAAAATTAAAATGATGGTACAAGGATGCATTTAATAAAGAGTAAATTTAATAATATGCTCTGTAAATCACACAGTGATTACTTCTGAACAAACCCAAATATTGTTGGGACATTATCCATGTTTCTCTTCTCCTTGCCCTCCTGGAAGCTTCTTGTGCAATTTCTAATAGGACTAACTCTAAAAAAATCTTGTATTTTGACTTAGGATTTTATTAAGTCTTGGTGACTACCAAGAGACAACTGAACTCCTGGGTTGAACTGTAACTTCAAAATAATCACACAGACAACACAACAGGTTTAATGAAAACAAATATAGCATTCAGTAACTCAGACAAGAATATAGTCCATCATCAATACAGCCAAGGGAGTATCTGAAAATCAGAATATTAGCCTTCATGCTCTTACCTGCAGTCACAATCTCTTTGGTCCTTGCTTATGGAAAATGCTTGTGGGACAAAGAGAAAAAAAAGGAATGCTTGAAAATATTTGAACAATCTTCCTTCATTGACATCAAATGAAAGGGTGTTCAGAACCATCTTCCACAGTCTACCCACTATTAGCAATGCCCTAACTCATACATCTGTAAATAAAATTCAATGTTCTGTTGTCATTAGACCCATAGTATCTGCAGCCAATTCTACTTCCTAATCAAAGTGGTCCTGGTCCTTTTATAATCCTGATACCCCTTTCATAGTCCCCCCTCAACCTGCCTGACTCGTGTCTCTCCCTTTATCCATCCACTGTTAACAGACTCATTCCAAAACACTTCATATTTAAATGAACTTAAAACTGAATGTAGACATTATACTGTGTAGGTAACATCACATTCTATACCAAAAGCAGTATCTGTAGTCCACCAAAACCTATTTATAAACACTGTATCAAAACTAAACCTTTTTATACCTTCTATGGTGTATCATTGGCCATCACTATAATTTGACAATGTTTTATGGAATTCGTATCTGGTTTTAAATTTTCAAGCATTACAACAAAACTGGGTTGCACATCAAAGTGGGCAAAAGTAAACAAAGAGTACACCAGTGTCACTGATTATTCTTACCAGTACTTTTGAAGAAAAACTCCACAGAAATGACAAACAAAACTAGAATGTGGACACAGAAATGCCAGCGTCTAAGAGGTCTCACTTCTTACACTGGTATCACCTCAGTTAAAACTGAAAAATATGGAAAAATTGTGATATATTCGCACAACCAACATAAATCACAAAGTAAAATTCCCTTTCTGAACAAACTGCTAAAACTCCCCAATTATTCAAGTATACAATGATTATTACCATTGTAAACTATTCTTGTGAGGTCACTAGAGTTAGTTCTACTGGACAACCCTGTTTTCAGCCCTGTATGGTTTTAGTGGCCACCAAAGACTTCATAAATGAGGCCAGTAAGAGTTATGATGATAAAAACATATGACTTTTCTGTCTTCCCTTTTTACATCCCATCTGATTCTTCATTTCATCAAACATCTTGAATTGCTAATGTGATAGTTGACAAGTTCATTTTATACTCACTGTATATTAAATTCATTGCCTTAAGATTGCTTCTTCCTCATCCTAATAATTGCAGACTGACTTTACTGGACTTTCTTTCCTCCATTATCATAATTACATTAGTAGGTATTTATGTGCTACTAACATGTCCAGTTACATATCTTTAAGCATTTGGAATCCATAGCCAATTCCTCTTCCATTCCTGTTCTACATAACTGAATCTATCCCATCCGAATGAACTGCTAACAGCACTGCTGGAGTTACCACCAGTGCTACTACACAAACAGAAAGGCCCAGGTGATCAGCCAGGCCAGGCCTTTTAGCTGAATGATAAGACACTTAATACTTAAGAACCTAACACAAAAGCATATTTTGGCCTCACTTTACTGATGAGGAAACTAAACAATAAAGTACTTATAGGGAAATTTTGAAGCTATAAAATGAAGTGCATAAAAATAACAGCAGCCATTTAGTTTCAGAACTCAAAGTTGACTATTAACTATTTTCTTTGATACTCACAAAAGACTGGGAAATGGAATATTATCTTTAACCTTCAAGATATCATGATATTCACAACTTGTTCAAAAGCAAAATATACATGTAAGTATTTTTAAAGCTATAAGAGTGAACCAAAGTACATCTTCCCAAAACAATGTAGTGAGAATGAGGAAAGGTAACAAATGAGTATGTGATGTAACATGTTTGAAAGAGAAAGTAAACATAAAAAGTTAAATAAAAGGCAAACAAAATCAATCATAACTTGCTACATACAAATAGGAATGGAATTAAAATTTTAGAAAGGCTGAGAAAAAAAGAAAACATCTAACTTCACCTTATACAAGTGAATTGTACTAACTGAATGTCCATTTGAATTGTTAGCAGTTAAAATATTTTATTCTATCTCGATTTCCTAATTGGCATTACCAGTGTTCTATTAGCAAAGGAAGTTTCTTTGCAGTTGTGTCTTTAGACTGTTATATGAACTTATATTAATCACATGCAGAGACTTTGAGAAATCAAATTCATTATTCTGAAATTGACAAACGCATTTATATACTGTTTTGAATTAAAAAATGGTAGTTTTAGAGAGTTCTCATTTAAATGAAGATATTACTCATCATTTTTAGTTATCTCTTAGAGCAAAAAATGCTAGTGAAGAGAGGCCATGATTTATAGAAAAGCTGTCCAAGTTCAGCTGAATGACTCAATGCTGTAGCATTCGAACATGATGTGATACCATAATCTTGTACTAAACTGATACGACTGGAATAAAACCAGTCTAATAAGGAATGGAAAACTACCACAGAAAACTCATGAATATGTTAAACACTACCACACAGATGCTATTTACCATATCCAAAAAATAAAAATATAACTGTCACAGGGTACACACCCTGATGTCTTCCAAAAATAAAAGTCAAAAAACAAAAATAAAAACCAAGACCATCTACGAAGTCAAACCATAAGCAAACAAACTAGATGGAAAAGAATGCATAACTCTTCAAGGGCTGATTAATGTAACTACTTTAAAACATGTTAACAATTAAGATTTAGCAAGAAAATATTTCACAGGTAGTACTGATATTCCATTGTGAGATTAACACTATGAAATTATGTTTTTTATTTTTCAGTAGGCTGATTACGATTATGCTTGAAAAATACTGGTGTCCTCAGATCTTGATATTGAACGATATACATTCTGAAAAAAATCAACAGAAAACTAGGTCTTGGTTGTTATTTCTTGGATGAGGGATAAAAAAGCTGGCTGTGCATTCAGATACTACTTGGGGTATTTTTAAGAAATTGTTTGAGTATGTGCTCGTGAAAAATCGAAATCATGGTAAAACATTCTACAAGAAATAAAATCAACATCCGCACATCCATATTCAAATTAGGAAAACTACATGGTAACACAATTACAGAGCTCTGTACATTGTAAACAAGTATCTTACTGAATGCCCCTAACACATATTTCTAACATGGGAGTTATACTTTTGTTATAATCCATACTAACTTACATATCTGTGTAAGTTCATAAAGGTATTTATGTAGTTTATAAATTCACATGTATGAGTGAGTACAGACCCAAAATGCACTCAACACACCATAGAGTAGTCAATAAAATCTAACAGTACAACAAACACAAACATTAAGTTACAAATGAAATTATTTTAAACATCAGATATGTAAAAAGTATCTAATGTAACAAGCAGAGAAAAATGTACGATATAGGAGATGGAAAGATTTCTAGGTGGGAATGAATCAGTCCAAATGCAAAGGCAGACATAAACACAGCCTGCGTGAGAATATACGCTAACAACTCAGCACCAGAGTGGTTCCAACTGTTATCTCTGGGACAAGAAAACATTTTCACAAAGACTTACTGTAAAAGATAATAAGGAACTCTCACTAACAATAAGAACATGACCAAAGAATATGACCATAAGAATATGATCTGTTTAAAACTCTGATGTGTATACAATCTTACAATTAAAAAATACAATCGTGACTAAAATTTGCAACATATTGCAAAATACTGGTATTATCCTTATGTGTAGGAATATTTTCATACAAAAAACATGGTTAATACATCTGATTTTCTTAACCAAAAAATTTAATGGAACAAAAAAAGTTAAAAAAATCAGAAACTCTAACGCAGAACTAGGACTCGTAGCAATTTTGCTGATGTGCGTCTGCCCAATGGATATGAAATCAGGGACCTAGACGCTGATCCACCTGTGTTCGAGGCAGCGTTACAATGTGGACAGCCATACAGCTGTGTAATTCAGTAAGACAAACTGCTCATCAACAGATAAATTTGGCACAGGCATCCAATCGGTCAGCCCTTTCGAAGGCATTTTATTAAATCTGTCTACAAACTTGGCTAAAAATTCACAATAAAAGCTAAGCTTCTTAAAATAAATCATAAGGGACAAACCTTAAACTAACAAAATTAAAATATTATCCATTAACCGAAGGAAGGTTTTGCTGCCTGCTGCTATTTATTTGGAAAATATCTGTGCTGTTGGAATGTAAATGAAGTACCATCCAAGAAGTATACAAAGTGGGCTTTTATATACTAGTATGAAAATAAACTAGATGGGTAACCCCACCAGTACAACTATAAAAGGCCCAAACATGAAGAACAAAAGCTATGGTAGCAGTATCCCAACACAAAAATTTGATTAAAAATAGAAACATACCTGTTGTTGTGTAAGATGGCTCACTTCTAAAGAGATTTACTGTCTCCTAATTAATCTATTAAGTTTGTTGCAAATGTAATAAAACTGCACTTATTTTCCAACTTGCAAAATAATTTTAACCAGCAACTGAGAGGAAAAAGTGCGATTATAGACAGGGAATATTCTGAAAAAGAAGAGAAATGAGACAGAACTCAATGGACTGGGTCAGACTAACAAGCATCAGTAATTCTGTAGCATTAACAGGAGACAAAAAACACAGAAAGTCGGCCGACTAAACGTGGGGATTTCTATGTGACAGAGGTTTTAAGAGAACTGGTTAACTGCGCAGGTGAGGGTGAGAACTTTGTATATGTAATGCATACCAAACCGCTGCAATGGTTCTCCAAAAAAGAAATAAAAAGACAAAATAATTGATGAAAATAGAAGGAAAGAGACAATAGTGTATGATAATAATGTAAACATGTTCTTAAAGAAAAACACGAACACAAAAGGCATAAAACAGAATGATTATATTTCAATACACAACTTGCTTACAACCAAAAACTAAAACAGCACAGTGAAATAACAAAAATATGGTATTACATTTGCAATGTATGAGATATGGTTAACACTTTTATCATAAATGAGCTCTTAAGAAACCAGTTACAAAGACACCAATAATCCACGGGAACTGGAAAAAAAAAGGAAATAATACAAATGGCAATTAAGAATTAAGACTATGATGAGTGTCCTGAACATTGACTGATAATAATTTCTCCATGGTATCACACTGTCAAAGCACAAACATGCTGTGCTGTGCAGTCTGAACTCTCATACACGCCGAGATTGATGAAGACTCTCTACAATTAGGCGGCTGCTACTGTTTGCCTCAAAATATAAATTTTGGACTTCTTTAGCCCCCAGCTTTTCTATTGACTTAAAATTATTTCAACAAATTACTTGGAACAAATTCAAAGTGAGTTTACAACTGCACATTTACTGCACAGAAATCATGTAGCCAGTATCTGGGCACCAAAACACTACTTGACTACCAATTTATCCGTCAACACAACCCAAGAAGGTGTGCACAACACTCCACTGATGATCACAGCGCAGGGAGCAGAATCAGTAACAGTTTGAGAACTGTGTATGGTGCCAGGTGGGTGCCTGAAATATGGGGTGGAACATTTTGAAGTATATGACTAATTACTGTGCTGGATACCTAAATCTAATAATACAAAATAGTAATGAATGTCTAATATAATTGAAAAATTAAAAAGAGGCAATCTATACTGGGTACTAAAAAAAAAAAGAAAACAAAGGCACTTGAAAGGAAACTACTGAATATATACTTAACAACTATCTATGTCCTCTAAAATCACAAGATGACTTCTAGTGACTACATTTCAAATCCACCCTACGGTGCGTGGAGTCAGTCACACGCCCTCGGTGCTCACAGGAGCGCGGGCGGGGCCCCGCCACGGCTTGTCCCAAGGCCTCCTGGGAGAAACGGCTCCCTTGCTCCATCTCCTGGGACTCTGTCCACCAGCAACAATGGAAACAGCCAACATGCCTGCTTACAAGTCTCTCCATGACACCCATCGGGGCACTTTCCCACACGGGCTTTCTCAGTCCCGTGTGTCTGATCTGTAGGAAGTGTCCATGGCCACGCACAGAAGTGGCATCTCCAACACAAGATGAAGACTGTCTTTTGGTTTCGAAGATGGTGGCAGAAGCAAGGGCATGGGCTCCTGGACAGTCATCTCCTGTGCAAACACAATGGGGAAAATGGGAACAGGTCAGACTCATAGCTCGCTGGATCATTAGTATGGGTGTACTCAATGCAGCGGCCATTCTATCATGGATAAATAACATCTGGGTCAAACTTAGATAAAAGAGCCAGAGATCCCAGGAAAAATAGTCCCATAACAGGAGCAAGGTAAGAACAAAATGAATCTAAACAATAGAGCCAGAAACTTCTGATGACGAGGAATCTAGAGAATGGCATCTCTGCCAGAATGTGGGCTGACCATGGGACACAGCAGTGACACTGTGTGACGTCTGAAGCCAGGTCAGAAGCCATGCCATGGTGACAGGCGAGCTGTCCTTCAACACTCGAGTCTACACTGCTCCCCCTAGTAATCCAGCTGCGGGGGCTCTCTCCTGGAAGCCTCAGTTGTGCCTGCCCACCCTTCCGACCCTCTGCAACTCATGCCTGCCACAGACGAGGCCCAGCTCTCGCCTGAAGCCCTCTCTACCACTGGGTCTTCCCCGTTGTTCCCAGATACTCCAGTACTATCTGAAGTGCTCAGGTATGTAATCACTGGAAATAATACAACTATGTTGTAGGTTACTAAGCCTCAGGATTCTCTGCTACTCAGCAGTAACTAACCTGAACAGATCTCAAAACCCACCAGCTGCCACCAAAATTCATTAAGCTTAAGAAAGCAGAATACGAACTACTGTCTCGTGAAGGGACCTCCCTGCATCAGAGGAGCAGCCAGCCAGCCGGCCACCCTCAGTCCTGTCAATGACGGGCAGAACCAGGTGCGAAGCAAATTGCAGTTGACGATTGCTCCGCAGAAAACGGCGGTGCCAATTCTTGGGATTTGTAACAAGGACAAAACAGCAAAAAGTGTAGGTTCTTGGAACTATCAGCTCCTACAGGGAAAAAGAACATTGTATGGTAAGGTAAGGTATACACCATTCCAATAAGACAACTGAAGCAGCAGGTAACTCACTGAGGTCAGCCACCACGTGACTACTTGGCAGAATCTGCAACGTTTTTTCCTTCTCTTGACACCCCCTTTTATCACACTGCAAAACCACAATGCACCATTTCTTTCAGAACACTAGCTATGTTGCCAGCTTCGTCATAAATTAGGAAGTTAATTGAAGAAACAATTTTCTCCTACATTCTGTGTACACTCTATGTGTTTTCTTTTGTAAAATTACCCTCTTTCAGAATTAATTTACTAATTATCAGGCATAAATGAAAATCCAATGTGGCCAAGAACAACAAATAGCAAGATTTCCCTTTCCCGAGTGTAGCTACACCGCATCCTAAAAGAGCACTTTTCGTTCCAGAACCTTCTTACCTGTGGTTCAGTTGAAATTTAAGCATAAAGGAACTCCACAGAAAGACAGATGTTCATTCCTATTGTTATCGGTCTGTGCATATTATCTGCAAATACAGTTCTCTCTCATCATGTTCACCTGAGAAGTACAGTACAGCCAAGTTTAGATATAAATGAGATACCAGGACACAAAATTTGGGTAAATTTACATGGACAATGGTTATAATGAAGTATCAGTTCACTTTACTTTTACCTTTTTGGAGCACCTTCAGCACAAATGTAGAGAATGTCGAAATGTTTTTGTGCTAATCCCAAATAATCTAATCCCATCAAGCCCAACTTCAAATCATTTTCACATAATCAACTACAGTGAAGGACAGAACATAATCTGTTCCCCAACAACTCTCACATTAATTAAGAATAATTCCCAGCATGCCCGAAGAGACCATCACCAATGACAAATATGGCCATGCCTCTTAAGAACTGACCCCTCAGAAGACAATGACCATGGTCACTGCCGCTTTGCCTGTCCACCCGAATGGAAGTGTTTGGCACATACCTCCAACACTATCCTTTCCCTCCTCTCTCCTTGGGTGATCGACTCTCTGTATTACACGGCACAGCTCGCCGCTGCACTTGTCTCAGTCACGTGTTCTTCTTGATCACTCAAACACCATTCACAATGGCCAACGGGAATACAAAGCAGGACACAGTGGCCCCATATTCCCAAGATGTTTATAGGCAAGATTGAAGACAGGCACAAGTTGGTTATATCGTTAAAATTCCTTATTCATTAAATGTTCCGTTTGAAATGCCTTTAAATTTTAAATGCAGAAAGTACAGGCAGTCCTCCTTTTTCCATCTCTGCATGCATTTAAATTTTGCCATGATCCTCCGGACAACTTTCTCTTTCATAACTCATTACACTCATTGTAGATTGTCGTGTAGCAATACACAAATACATGGATTAAAAAATGCCTCACTATGTAGCTAGTACATGTACAGAAATTTCAGAAAGAATGCCAAAACAATTACCATTATAGTCGCAATGATGATGAACAATCATTACTTAACTCTTCAATCTTAACAGGACAATCTCATTCCCCAGTGAGCAGAACTAGAGGCATACGGTCATACCTCTGGAAACACAATTACTCAGTCTTTGTTCAAAAATGACCATTTTAAGTATCAACACTTTACTCAACACTTAAGTAAAACACTTCCACTTGAGAATGTTTTATCAAGTGTTTAAGCTATATTTATGACATATAAGCTACCATCATTACAATCTTTCTTTTGGTGGTGTCTATTTCAGTGGTCAATGTTACACTTGATCTGTAACTTACTTTCTTCTTTGTAAATCTGAGAGTTTAGACAGATAAAATCACAGCAGTACCTTACATCATTTCTAAAATTTTACACATTCAATTTTGATTGTCATTACCAAGAGATGTTCAAAAAGATATTATGTATATGCTCTGATCAATACTGGATAGGACCACCTTTCTTAAGCAAGTTTTGTACTTTGAATTTACATCATAGACAACTGAGTCAACATTTTTGGCTTTTGTCACATAACATTCAAATATATCAATTCACCAGAAAGCTTTAAAAAGCTCTCAGAGAATTTAAAAAATATTCGTAACCAGAGAAATTCCCATAGATGCGTATATATGAAAACAGACTAAAATTAAGATATGAAGCTGCTTATACTTATATAAAAATTAACATACATTTAAATGTAACATGAAGCAGTCTATAAGAATACTAAGCTAAGAATACCATTTCCATAAATTTTCAGGAAAATAAAATGAAAATCAGTAAACTAATAAATGTAAAAAGAAACATTTTCAAAATTATATTCCTAAAACTAATTTTACATGTGTGTATATGCATTACTATATATGGCTATGTGGGCATGTGAATTTGCAGACATTTATCTAGCATAACAAAATAACATCAGCAATGTGGCTGTCTTTTATCTCTGAATGTATCACTGAGTACTTCAGAACATGACCAAGTGACAATTCCCTTCTCAACTCTTTTTCTTCCTACTGAAGATAAAAGTACGACCCAGGTGTATTTTGTTACAGGTGTACCATCTAATCTTCTCTTATAAATGAGGACCTAACATGAAGATAAGCAGTTGATATGTCAACCCCTATCCCCAAAACCTCACTCAACAAACATCAGAATGTTGCCACAGCCCTTGGAGGCAGACTGTTAACCATTATCTGTCACATTGCTGAAATATTACAAAAGCCAACTACATTTGCCATTAAATATTTACAAAATTTTGCGAAACTCCCAGCATCTAGAAAACCTAGATGTTTAAATTGAAATTATATGCCTGTTATTTACAAAGTTGTCTTGAATGTGGTCATGCAGCCCAATTAAGTACAAAAGTGTATAATTCAAAGAGGGAAAACAGAAGTTCCAATAAAAACACTTCCTATGATTAAAATACATAATGCCCTATTAGCAATACAAATACACAATTATGACATGTAGTAATACAAGCACTGAACAATGGCTTAAATGTAAACTTTTCTGTACAGCGAGAAGTCAGGAGTGAAGGTACACTCCCTTTTACCTTTCCTTCCCCTAACACCAACAGGTCACAGATATGTACAAGCTCTAAAAACCCACCATCCTAGCCACTTTGAGGTCAACCCATTTCCAACAAACCACCATGGAGTTTTACAATTATTTACATAAGAATACCTGGTGAGACTCTATACATGTGGAAAGACTAGATGTTATGAAGTAAAAAACGTGTATCTGCCTGTTATTTACAAAGTTGTCTTGAATATTGTCATGCAGCCAAGGGAACACATACAGAACTGTGTATAGTTCCAAGAGGTAGTATAAAATCCGTTTGATGAAGTCATTAATATCTTGAATGTTAAAATAAAGAGAAAAACATACAGAAGGTTGAATAGGCAGAGTACAAAGGACTTTTAGGGCAATGAAAATACTGTGTTTGCCATAATAATGGATGGATGTCATAACCTCATGGAATGTACAACACCAAGACTGAACCTTTAATGTAAACGATGGACTTTGGGTGATTATGATGTTTCGATGTAGGTTTATCAACTGTCACAAATGTGCCCCTCTGGTGGGGGATGTTAACAGTAGGCATCATTCCCGAATTTCGGGTTGATAGCAAGGAGGGTTATGCATGTGTGTGGGGAAGGAAAGTCTTTGTGCCTTCCCCTCAATATTGCTGTGAATTTGAAACTGCTTTTCAAAAGTATTAATAAAACTATTAGTAAGAGAAACATATCAGGAAGCTTGGTATATCCAAAACACTAAGTATATCCTCATGGTATTCTAAAGTAACAATTCATACTTGTCAAAATGTCAAACTCTTCTTTGAGAATGGGGCAAATGCATTATCTTGTCCATTTCTCCTCTTAACCAAATTAATATATAAATTTTTCAAAGCTCCAAGAGCCTCTTTATCAATGATTAATTTCTTTGCCACGGTATTTTTAAAAAACAATGGTAGTAACAAATTTACAGTAAGATATTTACAGGATTATACTTTGTGAGACTCTCAGTACATCCAGATAATTCACTTGTCCGTTATTTACAAAGTTGTCTTGGTTATTGCTATGTAACAAATGAACACAGAACTGTGTATTTTAGAGAATCTGTAAATGTGAAATCAAATTCCACCATGAACCTCAGTGTATCTGGGAAAATAAGATATAACTACCATACATGTCCCTGAAATAGAGGTATTTTTATATAAAATGGACAATTTATATAAAAACGATTTAATGATTACTATCTAATTTTTCTTCTAAATAAAAACATGAGGTAAAAATGCTTTCAATGCTTTGTATCCCACATTGAGTGAAATCATACAGTTCTCAGCTTTTTCTGACTTCACTTGCTTTGCTTAACATGATATTCTCGAGGTTCATTCTTGTTGTAGGCAAGGGGTTGAGGCTAGTAAAGGGTAAAGGGGACCCAACACATGGTAACAGAAGGTGATCTGCCTTTGGGTGATGGGCACACAGAGCAATATACAGATGATATATCGTAGAAATGCACACTTGGAACACATTATGTTATTAACCAGTCACCTTAATAAATTTAGTTAAAAATAGTGTCAATGCTTACTCTATCTCCTCACTAACATGACAACAGTTTTTAAGTAATTTGTCTTCAACAATCCCACCAATCCAATGAAGGTTACATGAAGGGGAATGATATCCTCGGAAAAATTTCTACCCTCTACCATCCTGTCTTATCAACATCCTACATATTTACAAAGCCCAATTGTCCTGTGTTTATTATTATAAACGCAGTTGTTTTAACAAATCAAAGAGCCACCTAGATAGAGTTTTTAAAATAATTTGCAACCATATTTCAACCTTATAGTTTAACATGTCTTGACTAGCATATGCATGTGCGGAAGAGTAGACGTAATGAAAAAAGAATCATACGTGAGAGACCAGAAAATATCCACTACCCTTGTCCATAGCCATTAATCCACTCAAATGCAGACAGAAACTCTACTGTACCAGCAATGAACAAGTGTTTTAAAGATGAATACAGGGCAGTCTAAAGATCACAGCAGACCAGATTGGTGTACCATGTCACCAGGCAAAAAACAGCACCAGGCAAAAACAGCCAAGTTTAGATGAAACATATTTTACAATGACAAAGTTCTGCATATCTACAAGGTTATGTGGTATAGAAACAAAGATCTGATCAGATCAGTCACCCCTTCACAATATTCAACATCAAAATATTTACTCTCTGTGTGTGTGCGTGTGCGTGTGTGCGCGCCTAGTACGCGTGGAGAGAGGGCACTTTTATACACCTAGGCAGTCCCCATGCTCTAAGAAGCTTGTCCACTATACATACAGCAGTCAGAAACTTCCCTGCTCGGTCCAAACAGTTAACATTCAAAAATTAGATTGGAAGAAAATGTATGCATGTTTACATAGTTTAAAATATAAATGGCAATGATTTCTACACTTTCTACATTCAAAAAATGTCTAAGGGGAAAAAAAAACACACAAAAACACAAATCCTCAAAATGAAGCCTAACTCATGAAGACGCATACTCTGTAGACCAAACAGTGACTACATTCAACAGTTCAGTGAACACACACTTCTTAAATTGATAGAAATTCTATGTCCCAAACTATTTTAGAAAACATTCAGCCTCTATGTACAAAACAAACAATACAATCACCTTTAACCGAATATATCCCAAATAGACACAGTATAGCAATTCAATTTGCAAAATAGGTTTTTCAACTGATTAGTTTGGTAATCACAAAATATGTCTATCAACAAATCCTATGCAGATGTTGTAAAACAAAACATTTGTCCACTATGTAATTAGCTAGCAGCCTCACAGTATCTTCCAGTAAGTCTCTATCCTGACTTTTAATGAGCAGTTCTATACACTCATATACACATATGTACATGTAGGTATATGTGTATAAATGTATACACATATGAATATGTAAACAATCCTTATATTTGAAGGACTAAAAGTTTAAAGCAAAAACTTACACATTCTAACCATTTTATATACACTGATCTAAAAAATACCCCATCAGCTGCCTAATTATTTATTCAGGGATAATACGACAACCATTAGGGAAGTTTGCACTTTATATATAATAAATATACCTATAAAACATGCAAATATAGTAGCTCCTATGCTTTAAAAACATAATACTGTGTCTACTATATACATATAATACAAAAACATTCTTTTGTCAGCCCACATTTAATGAACTTGGGTTTGATAATATACCATTGCTAATGTCCCCGTAAAACACATAAAAAACACCTATACAACTATAAAAAAGTACTTAAAGACAAGAAAAATTGACTAGTATTACTAAAAGTCAAGTTGCGCTGGCAAATGAAACCTTTCCTAACGAAGGCTGTTTTATCCCATGTAGAGATGTCTCTAAGCTGTGCCAAGAACTGTGATGTATCTGCACACACTCGGAAAACCAAAAACGAAGGCCAACCTGCAGCTGCCACGACACTTCCAGGGGTGAGTCGTGTCACGAAGCAGGGACCTGTACATTTGCCTTTACTGCAACTTGAAAACAGAGCCTAAGGATACAGAGAACACACAAGAGAGGCTATATCTAACATCTTTGGCAAAAAAAAAAAAGATTCTATCCTAGTAAGTTGATACATATTTATAGTACATTTACAATCATGTATATACATGTAGAAAATTGCTATTGAAACAAAATTATTTAACATTTGTAACACTGTTTTTAACAAAATGTATAGCAGTACGTAGCAGAAATAAATTAACGTTGAAATCTAGGCATTTAACATTAGAACACTTATAAAACTTATGTGGATTCCCAACATCTGAGCTTGGAGTGAAGCCCCAAATGTCAGCCACCTCCATGCTTGATTAAGATGGTGTAACAGCACTTTACAAGTAATCACAAAGCCTTCACAGCTCTGGACTTTTTATCAAGCATAGAGCGACCGTTCCCTCACACCACATGTTTTAACAGAGACACCATTTACACAGTAACATCTACATCCCCGCAGAGCAGCCTGAATATCATGTCCACGTGACAGCTGTATACGGAAAAATCCACCTTCCCCAACGTCCCACAGCAATAACCTATTCAAATGATTTTAAATGCACATCATTCAGAGGTATTCTGACAGTTCTACTTTTATAATCACGTATTAAAATATTTCTTCTATATATCTTACCCAACTCTGTTAACAACTGTTATCAGGAAAAGTCAGAAAACAATCATATTTGGTTTTTTTCATGCACAGTATTCTCAATATGCAACACAATACTAGTGCCTTACTTTTTTCCTGATTGACATTTTAAGCGCGCCGTTCCTTTTATGTTATCCCTGAGCACACAATGAATATATAATTGTGTATATCTTTACAAACGTCCTCAGAATTCTTGTCTAAAATATTTTCCGGAAGACAATTTTATCAAACATGTTATTAGAAACTTCCTAGGAAACCAGCTCTAGTATCACAACCACCATTTAAAAGGTTATCCAAAATAACAGATTTGTCTATAAATGTAGGCCTCTGTGCTTGAGTATTATATTCCAAGAACGTTTTCAGTAAACAAAATACAATGAAATGAAACCATTACATGTTGAACTTCATTCTTTTCATCTCCTAACATCAATGAACAGTTCATATACATTCATTATTCCATTTTATATTTACATTTCAATACCATCACCCACACACAAGCTTTATGTGTCCAATAAAGTAATTAGTGGGGCTAGATTTTGGGCTGTGTTAAAAATGCTTAGGAGTTAAAAAAAAAAACTGTCACACATGCATAGGAAAGTCCCAAATGCATGGCTTTTCACGGTAAACCTTATGAAGCTGAGTTGATACTCCATGATCAAAAAAAAAAAGAAATATTCTTTAATCCAAATCCAAAGATGTCCAATGAAATGTAAACATTTGAAAGGCAGAATTAAGTTCAAAGCATTATACATCTACATTTATTTTGTCTTTGTTTTTGTAGCTGGTAAAGCTTCTAGATCACCTCAAATGTGCCGTCCTTTTCCTTTTTTCCCCAGATTCCTGCAGGGTTGGCTTATGGCTACTTGATACTGTCTGTAAAAGCCCAACACTACAAGTTTTATCTGCTTGAAATAAATTTCAGTTCAATCATCGCCCTTCAAACACTTGCCTTTTGGGGAGCAACACACAATGAGAGAGGCTGTCCTGATGCTGTCGGGCCAGGCACAGACACAGATCAGAGGCAGAGAATCGCTCTTGATCTTGCCAAAGACCCCGTAAGCCAGCCTGAGGTTGAGAATCCCACAGCTGTCCAAACAGTTCGGGGATCTTCAGAACTTGACAAAGAATCGGTTACCAATGCAGATCCAGTCCCTCGGGCTGTGATCTCCTGCTTCTCTACGTTCACGGAAAAAAGCTTTTCAGAGAATCTGTGCATCGTCCTGGGTTGCGGTCACACTGGTTTCTTCTTGCTGTACACACTTCAGGAGATTCTTACAGACCAGAAGGTAACAGTGAAGGAGAATCACAGATCTTAAGAATCCTAATGTTCAGAGACTGCAAGTGGAACGTCTCCCATTGACAATGACAAAAGATGCTCTAAATATTACCAGGTTAAATAATCTTTGTTCTCTTCTCAGATTATTGCTTATTTCTAACACTGTTGAAACATGACGTGGTTTGTCATCTGTCCCAAAGACTTCTCTGGCACATGAAATAGAGAATCCGGAGACAGAAGTAAGGCGACTGGTTGGAAATTGGAATACAGTTTAAAGATGTCCAAACTCTCAACTAGGAAGGTAGCTCCACCCAATGGAGTCTAAACAGCATCGTCCATGCAATCAATACTTGAGGTTTGGGGATGAAACCCCCGTCCATCTTTCTTAGGCTCCATCTGTGTCCACCAAGCACAACCACCTCCTTACCTCCTAGCTGGCATGTCCTTTTTACATTCCTATAAAATTAATACCCAAATATACCATACAGTGATTTTGAAATGATGTTATAGAAGACATTGAGATATTTCACGTGTGATGTGGACATGATTTTGTCATTTAAAAAAATTGTTCAAAGTCTTTTCTTTTACAAAGAGTTGTAGAAGTTGCTTATGTACATTGCAAAAAGCAAGAAAAATAACCTATGCAGGATTTTACCAACCTATATACTGATAGATGCATTTTCACATTTTTTATGTGGCTAAGTACTCTTTTACCCAGATTTACATGATTGCTTTAAATGAACACATGCTTGTGTTGTTAAACAAGCTTCATTCTCCAGTGAGCTAGACTGAACAGATGGATGCAGATAATAAAGTAGACAACCTTAAGGGACACCACTTTCCAACAAAGCCACAAATTGAAATTTGGCACTGTTGTGGAAATATCACTCTAACTGATGGAATAGGGAAGTTGAATTTAAGATGGTATCACCCAATTCTGTGCCCAGCACTGCAGCACAACGAAATGCCCTGTTTCTTGCCTCAAACCTTTATAAAGAATATGAAAAATAATGCTCTAAACTGGAAGCCAAATTTTGCCTGGACTGTGTAAGTCTCATTCCTTATACCTTTTGTTCATTTATAGGTGGATTCTACCAATAACATGACAATATACCACTATAGCAAAATTATTCATTATCCATCAAATCCATACTAGATGTCAACTATTATATATACTTGGCCTTGGAAAAGAACAGTAATAATGACATTGAGGCCAATGATGAACCATTAGTGTCTTTTCCCCCAATCAAAGAATATCAGAAAATCAGCCTATGCCTTCTTGTATCCATTTTTCCAATCTTAGACAAAGGTATTATTCAGTAATTGAGGGTCTTTATGAAAGTTTCTTCACTGTGATTTGAGTAATTTGAGGGATGGATTTTTATATCATTACTCTGACATCAATTGGGACTGTAATTGACTCAGTAGAGAAAACACCTCGTCCATCTAAAGGTCAAAGCTGTGGCATCCATCATGCTCACCAGAGCTGCACAAAAGTATTAGAAAAATATGACACACATTTCCTGCCATCCTATCAAAGTAAGAAAACCAGTATTGTTATAGTCAATTATTCTCACAGAAATCATAAATCAGTTTCTTAACAATCCTGTGTGATTTCTCCTTGTCTTCAGTCCAAGCCACAGAAAAGAAGTCTCCTTATCTCAGGTTTGGATCACTTCGTAAGTCACAATTTTTAAAAATCCCCCATGAGTTCTCCTTCTATTCAGTCCAAACCATAGAGAGGTCTCCATATTTCAAATTATAGAGTTCCTTCGTTAGTCTCAGTGTTTTAAAATCCTCCACGATTTCTCATTTTATTCAGCCTATCCCATAGAAAGGAAGTCTCCTTGTTTCAAGAGTTCCTTCATAAGTCACAATCTTTAAAACTCCACAATTTCTCCCTTCTTCAGTCCAAGCCACAGAAAAAAAAAAGTCTCTTTCTTTCTAGTCTGGGCTCCTTCTTCATTCAGGTGCTGTCCCATGGAGGGTAACTGACTTGATCTGTATGTACATTCCTTCAGCACTTCCAGATGCAGAGAAACCCCGTCTGAAGAGGCTGACTTTCAAAGTTCATAAGTAAAGCAGACTGTCCACTCTTAACACTATTCCCACAGAGAAGCGTATTTACAAAACAGTACTCAATTTCAATATAAAATATAGTTAGCAGGGTATTTACAGCCAAGCTACAACATACATTTTGAAATTTCCCCAGTAAAGAGCATCACCCAGAAAAGTTCGTTGGTGTTGCCAGTTTATGGCCCATGTGAAATGATCCAGAAGTGGATGGTTAAAACAAACACATGCCTAAATGCAAAGTAATTAAAGTTATGCATGGTTCAGGGACCAACACAGAACACCAGCTGGATACAGTGACACCCCTAAAGCCTAAGCAATAGGCAGAAACTGCCATGTCTAGGAAATCAGCACACTAGTGAGGATCACACCTATTTTTTTAAAGTGCTTTAAAACATCTGGTTTTCTGGAAATTTTGGTGTTTGGTCATTTTTATCCAAATTAAACCAGGTGAAAATTTAGGTAGTAGTTGATTATTAGAAGAATTATAAAAAATGACCTCACTTCCTCAATGGAGGTACATAATATAAATGAATATTGACAATTTGTTCTGATAAGATACATGGATTCGGATTGTCCAAATTCTGGAAGTGTGTGTCCAACCATGCATTTGATTCCAGTGGCTACTGTCACTTGTTCCCAGTTCATTGTATTACAAGAAAAAAAAAAAGCATTTTCCACTCACTTTGTAAGACAACCAATTTTCTTTCAAAATTCCGTGTTCTTGTTCATTTTTAAATGTTCTGTAATGAACTCAGTTACCTGCAACCATATAAATGAGCGTTCGTACAACAGCACTTTCAGAAAATGAATAAAACCCAGATGTTCTCTATGTGCCTCCACCAAGAGCATGCCAATTTCTCAGACCCAGGACCACTGACCCAGAAACTGAAAACTGAACAACCCGCCAGGTGACTCTCACGTGCACTGGAGTTGGAGAAAAGTTTGACTTCCTCTCAGCTGCCCACACTAGTAAACCACGGGACCACTCCGATAACCACAGCAGGAGCCGGCCTTCCACCCACAGAAGACCCCAGGATGCCTATGGAGTGATCTCAGGAAAGGACACAGAGCCTAACAGGACAAAGCTGGTGCAGACAGGCATGCTGAATTTAACCACACAGGGGTGGGTGGGAGGATGGTGTCTCTGAGTCCCAACCCCCCACAAAGGAAGCTATCAATGGACATGTCTCCCCCTCACACTTGGACAACACAACGATGTCAAAAACTCCCTTTAAAGCCATCTTTTTTCCTTCTTGTCTTCCCTCCACCCATCACTGCCTTCAACATCTAGTGCCAACGCAGTCCCTTCCGTTGTCATCACCACTAGCTGCGTTGGACCTGCCCTCCTCAGGTTCAAGAATGAACCTCCTCCTCCTCCTCCAAGAAATGAAAAGCTGACCATCTTCCAGGGATTCACATGTGAAGGGACTTCCTTTAGGTCACCTGCCTGCCCCCACGAATGGTTTACCTGCATGGGGCCCACCCAGCAGCTACCAGCGTCCTTTCTCCCAGCAGTAAGTGACCACCCTAGTTTGCACCAAACAGCCAAGGTCGAATGCCTCTAAGACAACACTGCACCTCAACACACCCCTAGTTCAGTCCTTTCCTCTCACTCAGCTCCTTTTCAGGCAATAAAAGGTGACTTCCTGCTCTCATTCCTTCCACCTGCTCCTGCTGCTCCAAATCAGCGACACCAAGGGAAACCAAACAAGTCTCTGAGGTAGTAAGTATACAGACATTTCTGGCAGGGAAACAGGGACTAAATAAGGTAAAGAACTGTAGGAACACTAACTTACTTTAAAAAGAATGTAATTCATTGGAACCCCAACAGCTTTTCACGAGAAGCTGTTCACTCATCACAGCATAAACACCCACACCATATTTACACTTAGTTACACACACACACTCACACACACTCACACGCACTAACAAATTAAGGTGACTATTTAAGGATAAGGTCTTAGTACATTCAACTGTCCATGGTAACATTTTTATACAGGTTTTCTAAACACCTGTTTAATTATTATTCAACCCCCTCACAATGGCTACAATAAGCAAAGCATAAACATCTACTCAAAGAATGTCAATCTCAGATAATACAAGATCCATTACCCCAGCAAATAAAGACAGAGTGTGAAGAATGATGTGAGAATAGAGACCCAATTCCAAAAAGGCAAAACCCTTCCTCACTCTAGGGCTCAGATCCACCAACTGCCAAATGCGAATTGCATCCCCTTCAATCAGAGCCCAAAATTCTATTTCTTCATCTGTGTCTTGCCAAGAGAGTGGTGGCAACTCACTAAAAAATAATTAAAGAGTACTTATATTTTCAAAGTGTCATCTTAATATTATACTCAACAAAGCAATGCCTTGACAAATAACTGGCAATTTCTCACTCATGTGGTAATTGGAGCCCCTCCTGGGTTGGGGACATGGTCTCAGTCAATTCTGGTACAAGGTTGAAACTGAGTCATGATGTATGAAAGAAAAAAACCACAGTATCTCCTAAGTCCGTATTCTCTTGAAGTTATCACTTGAAACGCACAATGAAAAGACAAAGGTGGGCTGCACCAATGTCACAAGCACTGAACATACTATATACAAAAAGAAACCAGAGCAGTGGATCAAAACCCACCTTCCTTGACTTCACTGGGAAAACCTGCAACTCCATTCTCCGAGCACAACACTGATGGGGGAAGCCTTTGAAAATCACAACCTGCGAGCGCGTGTTAGAACAGGTGTGTCCCACGTCCTTTGACGGACACTTGGGCAGGACTTCAGAGTACTCAGAATGAGCTTCACGTGGTCATGCTCAGACAACACAGCTCATCATAAGTCGAGCCAAGGTCTTCCCAACAGGAGCACACCCTGGTCAAAACACTTCTACCAGCAGACTGCGCAGCTCTACTAATGCAAAGGCCCCCGGCTTAGGAGAAGGAGGATCGACCATCTTTGGCAGCAATATCATTCAACTGACACAGAATTAAGGTGACAATCTGGGGGAAACTCAAACACAGTGAAATACCCAGCAATCTGACAGAACACCACTGAGTTCTTTGGAGTCTTAAAACAAAATGTAATACCTTACAATCCACTTCCCCAAGCGAATGGTCTAACCAATTGAAAACTGGAATATGCACATGATAACAGACGGATGGAACACCAAGAAGTAACAGTATCGACAACTTTCTATTTTCTAATCCAATTTAAGAACCTAAACGACACTGAAAACAGCAATCAAAATATCCCAGCATGGGAAAAATCAACAAGAAGAATCAATGAGAATGGTCAAATAAAATCAAGGTAGATGAAACAGGTGAAGTCAAGTCCAATGACCTGTCTATGAATACTGCATTTTGGAGGACCGTGAAGGTGTTTTAAGCTAACGTCTAACATCTCTGAACCAAGAAACGAAAACACTATGGTAATATAGTCCAATTTTATCATGGAAACAACAGGACACACACTACTTTTCCTGACATATGTTTCCCAACAGACTCATACTGGGAGTCCAACCTTTTTACCACCACAGGTCAAGTGATCATGTAAAAGAACCTCTACACAGCGCTGTGCCAGTACCTAATGAACTCTACCCCATCTAGGTCATTTTGTTCTTCTCTTCCACAAGAAATCTAACACAAAGTGATCTGCAATCTCAAGCATCCAGTTGAGCAGTTGAGCTATCGGAGACCGTCTTGCAGCTTGGCCACCACACCTACATTTTTAAGATTAATCCTGCCTACCAAAGGAAAGAATTCACCCAGCCAAGCCTTTCCCTGCTAACCATTCCTCAATCACAGGTGAGGGCATGTTGTGTTAGCCATATGGATTCCAGAATTGCAAAGATGCTGCTGCCATGCGAGGAGCCAGAAAGCCACTTGTGGCCCTGTCCCCAGGACACTGGGGCCCCCAGCACATCTCCTCTGAGTAAAGGAAAAAAGTCACTTTGGGTTTCTTCATGTGCTATTTGAGAAAGGAAACGAAGCCACAGATGTCCCCTCCAGAGCCTGCCTGCGCACTTTTGGCAGATGCACTTCCTGAAACCATTCATCAACACCCACGTCCAGAGCTGACATCCTTTGGGCTATATTTCAAATACTGTTCCTCTCCTGGTCTTTTCACTGAAGCCCTCTCGCCCCCTGTGACCTCAACACACTACTTTCTGATTTCTACTTTTTGACCTATATATAATGGCTAAGATGGGTCCCCTACAAATGCACTGTCCAGGAATATTTATGGCTGACTCCTTTCTGGGTTAGGAGTATGGAGTTGAAAAATAAGATAGGCCTAGATTATAATTACAAGTATTACACTTTAAGGAAGTGACTGTAAAGTATTTTAAGAGTTATACTGTAACACTGTAATATTTCAATACATTCAATCAAAACATAAATGCTATGAATCAAAGTAATACTGCCATGTCTTAAACATGTGCTATGTCATTGCCCTACACACTGACGTAGCACAGCGATCCTCAACTGTTTCAATCCCAGGACATACAAACTATTGAAATTATAATGCACACCAAAAAATGTATCTTTGGCCAATCTGACAAAAAAAGGTGTAATTTTGATCCATTCACACGAGACAGCTAATTGTTGCATTGGCTGTTTTCAGTTTTTTAATTGGACAATCTAAGGGGAAAAGCGGTCAATGCCCCTGACTAAACATTCAGGTACTGTGTGTTTTAAAGACTCTTCAGGCACACCAGTTGAAAATCGCTGTTCTAGGGTACAGACAACTGAAAAGAAGCAAAAATACAAAATAAATGGTCCTCAAACACAGCATCGGAGTCCATGGGAAGGCGTTGTCACACTCCTTGCCTTCCCACCCTACGAGATCCGCTCCTACCTGGACGTCAGACACCTACAACTCTGGCATTTGATGTTCGATGCAAGAGCTGGTCGGGGCCTCCTTTCCACGTATGCTGGCTTGTGTCCCACCACAGATCTGTGCCTTCTGGGATCCAAGGATGAGCTTCCTTTGTTGCTCTCAACAGCATAAAATATATACAGAAAAAAAAATTAGCTCAAAATGTCTCTGAGAAATTTTTTGAAAGGATGTTTGAGGAACTGGCATGTGCACTAGTGTCTACACCTGCCATGGAGAGTATGCGAAGTTTTAACATTTGACACCATATTCTGCTGAGAATGTTCTCTGAAAAGTCTAGTGAGGCACATTGACTGATTTCAGTGACATTTTCAAGCTCACAATTTGCAATCATTATGTTCAGACAAGGTCCTTTCTCATCATAAATCTAGCCAAGGCCTCTGTAACACACACCTTTCTTTTTAAGATTACTTTACCTGGAGTGGTTTGCGTTTCTGTCCTAAATGCAGTTAACATGATTTTCAGCCTTGATGCAACAGTACTGGGTAGAATCCACACTGAGATGTCAGAAAATTCAGTGCTCAAATTCCCGCTTCTTTTCAGTCATCAGCTATGTGGGCAAAAAGGTACTGTGTAAGATTGAAAAAGTTGTAATACCAATCACCTGTGCCAACATGTTTTGATTTATGCAATACAACTCAAACATGAGGATCATTTAACTTTCTTTTATCCTAACCTAATGACATACTCATGCGTTTTTAGAAAGAGCAGAAAGGAGAGAGACGATGGTTGGAGACATCCACATGAGAAATCGGTTGACTCTTGTATGTGTCTCAACCGTGGTCTAAACCCTCAACCGAGGCATGTGCCCTGACTGGGAATTGAACACGTGACCTTTCTGGTTGGGGAGATGACATCCAACCAACTGAGCCATACTGGATAAGGTTGAGCATTACTTATATATTGCCAGGCCCATTGGAAATAAAGTGCAAATTAAGACAGAATCTGGTAAAGAATTATCAACTTCCTAACGTGTACCTGAGCACTTCATTATATAGTAGCAACTATAACGAACTATTTCTTGGAATCAGTGAGTTTTAATTAAAATCAACACAATGAAGTTTTTTTTTCTGACCTTTGAAACAAGGTTACTATAATCTAGACAAGTGTTACTCTTAACACCTAATTCCCTAAATGACTTGTATTACTATACTACACAAGTAAAGACCTACAAGAAACAAAACATCGCTTAGTTTAGTTTAGAAACATCGAAGATTTCTGACCTCATTTATGCTTGCAATCTAAAAGCTGGAACTCAGGCAGCACAGAATGGTGGTTGCCAGCAGTGGGGGTTGTGGGGAAATGTTGGCCAAAGGGTGCACACTTTGGATTATAAAATAGATTTGGGGGAATCATGGACATGGTTATGATAGTTAAGGTTGAACTGTATATAGTTGACCCTTGAACCATATGGGGCTTAGCAGCCTTGACTCCCAAGAGTTGAAAGCCACAATTAACTGACTCCCCCAAAACAACTACAATCACCCCTGGGTATCCACAAAAAATTGGTTGCAATTCCCCCGTGGGTACCAGAATCCAATGCATCCAATTGGTCTCTACCTCTGCAAACTCCCAACTACAAAGAAAACACTGCTTTCAATCTGAGGGTGACTTGAGTCTGCAGGTGTGGAACCCCAAGACCCAGAGGGCTGTGTTCACTGAAAACAGCATACACACGTAGTGGGTCCGCACAGATCCTGCTCATGGTGCTGAAGGTCAGCTCTACCTGACATTTGCTCAGTTACCTTGTGAATGTTCCCACCACCAAAACAGTAAACTATGTAATCTGATTTTGTTCAACTTTTCACAATATATACATACATCAAATGTTGGAATTCTAAAAATCACTGTTGTATTTATAAGTTATATAATCTAGGAAAGTAGAAAAAATTACAGGATGTCTAAAATTGGGAATAATTACACAACCAGGAACTGATGAGTTTATAAATGCAGGAAACTGCCCTGGCTGGTGAGGCTCAGTGGATTGAGTGCTGGCCTGCACACCAAAGGGTCACAGGCCTGGCCAGGGTCCCAGTAGGGGGCATATGAGAGGCAACCACACATAGATGTTGCCCTCTCTCCTTCCCTTTCCCTCTAAAAATAAATAAAATTTTTTTAAAAGGCAGGAAACTGCATCACTTTTGATGTTCTTTATAACAAAGCCAGTTTATTAAACACAGAATACCAACAATAACTCAAAAACAAGGGTTTAAGGCAGCCTAACATCTAAATTCCAGAGTTCTGTCTGAAACTGTTTTGTAAACCACAGTAAAAACTCATACTGTTATACTAAGTGTAGAACACGAAGTTAATGTGTCCAGGAAACTGGGAAGCCATTGCTCAACTGTGTTTAAAACATGACCCTGGCTGGGCTGCTCAGTTGGCTGGAGTGCTGTTGCCACACCCCAAAGGTGGTGGGTTTGATTCCCAGTCAGGGCGCATACCTAGGTTGTGGCTATCCCTAACTGGGATGTGTATGGAAGCAACTGATCAATGTCTCTCATGTCAGTAGTCTCCCTTTTTCTCTCTCCCCTTTCCTCTCCATAAAAATCAGTCAACATATGCTCAGGTGAGGATAAAAGAAAACAAGAACAAGAACTCTCTTGAACGCATAACGATTAGAGCCTGAAAGCATTTACTGCTGCATCGGTATGCCCCCCTAGAATGCTGCAGAGGCTTAGATCTAGCAATCGGTAACGAAGGAGACACAGACTTCTCTTACACCCCTCATGCCGCTACAGGAACAGCTGCATCAGGCTGCCTTTTAGCGTGTTCCACAAGCAATACTCTCAGAAAGTCAAGGACAGTCTAGGCAGAACTTCACCCACCAAGACAGCCATTGAAAGCAAGCACCTTCCAGAAACCCAAGTTCTTACCTGTCCCCTTAACTTGCAAGAAGCAACCTTTAGTTAAGGAAATATAGGCATACCTCCCTTCACTATGCATCCCAGATGTTATTTTACAAACTGAAGGCCCTCTGCCAGCAAGAAGACTCTGACTCACTTTGTTGGGGTGGTCTGGCTGTGCCCACACACTCCCTCACAGCTATGCCTGAGTTAGAGCACAGGTTTTCTCCACATCAATGCACAGTCAGGCCAAAGTCTAAGGGCCATGTGCGCCTGCAGATCTATGCAAGGAGGAATGCTTTCCCTCCAAAAACAGAAAAACGAGTACACATTATTAGAAGGAATCCAGAGAGCAGACTGCACAGAAAACAGGGCTTTTTATGTACTGTCTACAGTTCGTGTAAGCATAATCTGTCCTATGTATCAGTCATTTTCATCGTGTCTCCTAAAACAAGGAATGCTTGGGTACTTCATGCTCCTTACCTGATAGTGCCTATCAACACCGACTTGTCATTTTGAATGTCCATTGTCCTTGGGAGACATTTACTTGAAAGGCCATGATTGAAAGGATGGAAAATATGACTGACACACATACCTGTGCTGGAGGAAAAAACTGAAGGTGAGACAATTCCTGAAGTTATTGTGAAGAGTTAGTATCATACTCCGCTGTGTTTATAAACTACCTCCTAAAATCAGGAAGGCCTCACTCATTCCCTCATTGAAAACTTCACAGCACAAGCTACATGTCCTCCCCCTTTTACAGTTTCACTGTTGTATCACCAATTCTAACTGGACCTACATATTTGGACATTTCTGTTTATTTCTAAGTACTGAACTAGGAGACACTGTCTACTCCTGCGTACTTCCAATGGACCACTAAGTGACTCAGCTGATACAATCATAATTCAGACTTTGGAGTGTCAAGTGTACTTTAGGATGTAAATAGTACGACTTTTCTCAAATATGAGCTCCCCTCTCCCAACACCCTGACTCTGCTGTCAGTGTACGAGTGCGCAAGGTCACTTACCACGGGCAGGAGAGGATGGCTGTCCCAGGACCATGTGCGCCCACTAATGACACCAGGCACAGAGCACCGTGAAAGCTGGAAAATGGAGGTATAAACTTCCCAAAGCCGTACCTCCTGTTCCACATGCTTTGTTTGATTCCGTGCCACAGCTTCCATCTGCACGAGCCCTCCCAAGGCCTTTGGCGTCCTCGAAGCCTCCCTGCAGTGTGTCTGGCACTGCGGAAGTGGAGGAGCCCAGGCACGTGTCTCAGCTGCACCACTTAACTGCCTGGGCCATGGTTCCTTATGTGTCAAGGTCATTAACCAACACCACTCAATGCAGAGTAAACGTTAGGAAGCTGAAACAATTATCACAACCATTCTATCGTAAGAGTTAAAAAAAACTTATTTAAATAGTTGCCTGGAAGGCTTTACCTCATCCGTAATAAAGCACACGCAGTGTCACTGTGACCTCAACAAAACCAATAGACAAGAAAATGTACAACAGTACCTCACAGTTTAATTGCTCTATGCATTTATTAGCGAATATTAATGCTGCAGAGGGGACAGAAGCTCACAAACACTCTACACAGTTCCACAAGACACAGTGCAGGCAAAAGTGACTAAGGACCAACAGTATCCTAGGGTCTTGGTGGACGCATTCCTGGGGGAGGTGGACCTGGAAAATAAAGAGCAAAATTCCATGAGGTCAAAATGCATGTGAGTATCAAGGGACCGGGCTGGCGCCTCCAGGCACATGGGAACCCACTCACCTCTGATTCCAGGTGGGGGGGGTCTCATCCCTGGAGGAGGCATGCCTATCGGGGTCCCCCGAGCAGGGGGAAGCCCAATCGGTGGTCCCATGGGTGGTCTCATACCAGGTGGAGGAGCCATAATGCCTGTGGAAGAAAAGGCAGAAAGGAAGACCTCAGAGAAAGATGAGACCTAAACCCAAGACAATATGAAATGGGCACAGACACCCAGCAGAGAGCTGACCAACTTCCTCTTTGACCATTCACCACGTAAGCCATCTGCAACTCAAAAAAGTCCAAAGTCTTTCCAGTCAAAGCCAGTACCCAAAATGGGAACAGATCTAAGCTCCTAGTTAGCTACTGAGGCAGGGCCTTCTTAGAACATTTAGTCACCACTGCAAGATGCTACAATGCGTTCACAGACCCACACCTCTAAGAGCCAAACTCGTGTACTTCTTGTTCATCAGTTCCTTACCTGGAGGGGGGGTTGCCCGGCCCACAGGGGTGGGGGGAGTCCCCCGACCTGGTGGGTACTGAGTGGGGGCTCCAGCTATGCTGGCAGTGGCCGCCACAGCGGCAGCTGCGACAGTGCCTCGTCCCTGTGGAGTCATTACCTGAGGAGGATGGCCAGAGAGACAGACAGCACAGGTAAGGCACACCCTCACATCACTCACACACAGAAAACAAATGGTGGATCGTGGCCTATTAGATAGGAAACAACCATAGCAGTTCTGTACTTCTCCACTTATTCTCACTTTAAGATTAAAAGTCTTACCACATTAACATTCCCCTTTAAACTGAACATGCCCATTTTAATCTAGTAATCATTTTCTCACCTCCGGTTCACCCACATTTCTCTGCATCCACCAACACGCTGCGTCAGTCCCATCCAGGTGGCTGTACTCTACCCCCTTCCCATGCCTTTGTCCTCATTCCCCTGCACAGCACGTGAGGCTCGCGCCACACAGGATGGGCCCTCGGGCCTGTCCACCTCCTCACCTGCTGGGAGGGTCCCCCTACCCCTCGGACTGGGCCTGCTAATCCCGCAGGAGCCTGTGGAATCGGAACACCAGCTGGGACTCCTCTGCCCGCGGCCCTGCCAACCCCAGGGCCTCCTGCAGCTCCTGCCAGTGGTACACGAGCAATGCCGGTCTGAAAGCACAAAAAAAGATGGCTTGAAAGAAAATGCTTTAGGCAACTTACCAGCTATCTTCAGTTACCCCTAAAGAATAGACCCTTCTCATCCTTTCCCACACCATGATCTCGTGTTAGTTCTGAACTTGAAAGAGTATGTGAACAAGTGCACCACAGAGGTGCCCTGCAGATTCAAGGCCTCACTCCCACCACTGTGCCACATGGATCTCAGGACCCTGCCAAGAGAAAGTAAAGTGGCGCTCCTCCCACACTGGCGAGTGTCCAGCTCAGAGCAACTCATCGGAACCCTTCCTCCCCATGTATTTCCTCCATCAGACAGAGCTGGCAGCAGCTGCTGGGCACACTGCCCTTGACAAGGAGCAGGGTCTTGTGCCTCTGCTGTGCTCTCCTGTCCCTTATAGTCATGTTTGCCCTGCTCTGTAGCTTCCTTACATCTTTGGGGGGAGGTCCCTCCACTGTCATGGAAACCAAGTTCTCCCCACGCAGCAGCACCAGACCCAAGACCCGCTTCTCTTCACGCTCTGGCTGCTTCGCATTCTTTGGCCTGAAAATCAAAAGTAAATTGTTAGTATGCAAATTTAGGGACCACACACTCACTCAAGTCATTTATAGACCATTAAACACCAATTAAGACAATATGCAAAGATGCTGATATTCAAAAAGCTATGTCAAAACAAAAACAAAACACATCAGTAGACTCAAGTGATATAGAAGGGTGACTGGTAAAGCTCTTGAACTGACAGAACGTCCCCTCAATGTTATACTACGTAAGAGCGAACTCCTTCATTATGAAAGATGCAAATGATTTGGCCAAAATACAACTTTTCAGGCAGGCAATCTGAAACCTCAGTTTTCATGTTAAGATGGGAAATAAAAGTTTTGAAATGTTTTAACTTCATATGCAATCTTGATGGGAGCTGAAATGAGAGGGCAACACTAATAATGAAGAACACCAAATGGTAAAAATACAATGAACAATTCTGAATAACACACAGCTGTGTATTCCTGGACAAATAACTTTATTACTTAACCATGGGAAATTTTTGAAAAAACCCTGATTCCAGTTTCTTTATCTGTCAGCAGAAATAGTACAGAGTGAGGCAAAAATAGGTGTACAGTTGTTCATATGGCAAATACAGTAATTAATAATAGTGTAATAATTTTTTGCATCCTCATGACTGTAAACTTGGCTGCCCCACCCTGTGTGCCAGCATGCCATGAGGCCTCTAACATACAACCTAGGTAACAGTCTGCCTCATTAAACTCCAGTAGGTACCACCAGAGAGTAAAGATAAAAATCATGTACCACCTAAAGCACTACTTAGATGGCATTATCCTTGCAGTGCAGTGAGAAAAATGAAGAGAAATTAAGACTGTCCAGAGCTATGGCCAAATGCCTTCAGTACTGATCCACATGACAGGTTTTTGTGTCAGTAAAAAGGTAGATTTGAAGAACATTGAAGCATGCACCATCCGAGAGTTTCTGAAGTAATCTGCCTTGTGCAGGAAGGAAGAGTAACAGGAAATAAAGGGAAGAAGGAAAGGACAAAGTGCACATTACAGACTTCTCAATTTGACTAAGGAAAGCTGATGTTCTTAGTGTCCCTCACCTCCCATTACCACCCAACCCCAAGGTGGTCTTACTTGATCTTCCTGAACTCATCGCAATCACAAAGAATCAAATTCATATGCTTGTCAAAAGCCTTAAAGGTGCCGATGAAGATCCGGCCATCTTGCAGGATGCACCTCATCCTGTAGTCGATGTGCTGCAGCATCTTGCTGCTCTTTCCCACAGTCTGGAAGGAGAGAGAGTCGTCACCAGCTGGCCTGCAGCCACTTCCCAACCCTTCCCACCTATGCTAATCCAGGTTGGGTTTCCCTTTCCCCCTTCTCCCTCATGCATCTATATTTAAGTCCTGTGACTCTTTGGAAGACAAAAAAAAAAAAAAGTGGTATCTAAGATTTTTTCCCCTTCTCGAGAACTGATTTTTGCCCCTTTGGGATATCCTTGTTGACAATACATGTTACTAGATGAGCTGAACTTGAACTGAAGCACACTGATCAGGATGCTATGTTTCTCAGACTGCTTTCCTTTGTTCTCATCAAACCCCTCCACTTTCAAAGTAGGCTTTGTCTACTGTTCCCAACTGAAGTCAGTGCCCCATCTGCAGAAGGCTCCTTATTACAATCATAAGGACCAAAAACTCAAGATCGTTTCCAAGCCTTTTTATCCTTTTTTCAGTATGTCATGACACTGCCCTTCTGCACTTGTTGGTCCACGCAGTGAGGTAATTTTTCAATGCATTGAACACCTTCCATATTGATTAAACTATCTCTAATACCTAATTACCCTATGATCTGTCAAACAACTGTGTTGGGCCCATACAGTATCTTCTCCCCTCCCCCACGAATACATATCTTACCATGATTGCTGTTTCACCAAATCCAATATCCACAGTAAAGATTCAGGATCCTTAAGACCTAAGGGAAGGCTATAGATAAAGGTATGACGCGGGTTCTGCAACAAACACAATGCAAGCTGGGGCAGAAGCTTCAAACAGTGGGTTGAGCCTGCAGAGGAAAGCATGGTCCAGCTGCACTGCAAGCTATTTGGCATGAAAATCACTAACAGACACACTGAAAACCAGCCCCATTCTCCCATGCGCTACAAAAACCTCGATTTTATGCTTCTCTCACCTTCACTCCCCCATTTTATGCACCTCAGATTTATGAAGTTTTCTTCTTCCTTTAAAAGTATATCTGATATAATATTAATTCCAGGTGTCCAATTAAGTGATTTGCCATTTTTTATACTTTACTATGGGTTCTCCACACTCATTCTAGCAATCATCTCTCACTGTGCATTCTTCCCACACTATTAACTATTTCCCCCCCTTCACCTTTTCACCCATACCCATCCATGTTTCTTAACACAGATCCTTCCGATCTTTTTCCACTCTAAAATGATTTTTTTTTTATCCTTGTTCATAGTATTTCATTCTCTGGTCCCGAGTTTATACCGAGTATGTCAAGTTCAACAGTCTGACGTCCTTAAGTTTCTCCTTCTGAATTCATCCCTGACTAGAGCAAATTCTCACTTCTTGACTGAACCACCTGTCTGCAACCTTGTTGTTCCCCCTCCCCAGCCAATTCCCTTCAACATACTTCCAGGGAGTCGGTCTTTCCCGAGAACCCAATGTTTCCTCAAGTAAGGGTTTAAATACTTCCTTTGTTGGAAGGGTTCATGCAACTATGGAATGCTTATATGGATACATGGGCAACTTTCTTGCATGCAGTATAACAATGCTACTATTTCCCCAATATACTAAAAAAGGTTGCTATTAAGTATGGCAACCAAATCTAGCCGAAACTTGTCCAGGGACTCAGATTAATTACTAGTTAATACGAAAGAAAACTCAAATTATATTACTTTTGAATGAGCATTTGGTCTTATGCACCTAAGTAGCTAAATACCATAAACAAAGTCAGAGAGAATATCTGTCTATTCTACAGATAGAATATCTGTATTTGACTGTTTGTTTGCTTTTAACAAACATTTCATTAAGATGCCCACTTAAGAGAACATGTCCAAGCAGCAATATAAACTTGTTAATACCGAATCATCAATTTCAGGACATGAAAATGGTATCATTTAAATGGTGGTTATGAACCAGAACATCAAAATAAAGTAAAAATGTTGAGGACAACAGTTTTCCATGTGGAACAAACTCACACTGTTCGAAAGAGTAACCATGGCATGACAAGTAATTCAGTACGAGTGTGCTAAGATGTAGAAGGGATGTTTCCCTTAACTACAAAAATTTGATTCAGTTAAATACATTTCTATGGCAACGGAGTGCATCAAACTGGCTAAAAAGCAAAATCCCAACCTTGGTTGTCCACATGCAAACTGTCCGCCTCCTGCATGCAGCGTTGGCTGAAGATCACTGTCCATCCGCCCTCAACAGTCTGTCCACACTGCTCTGCCATGCAGAGTCCCTCTTCTCCCGTCTACCCTGCTTACATCCTCAGACACAGGGGTGACATCACAGGTATTGCCCATGTCTGGTATGCAGTGTTTGTTGAAAATAAAATTATGTAAAGACCTGGTGAAATCAGCAGAGTAAACCCTAGCATAAATGCAGTTACTGACACAACTTCACAAGAGTGAACTTAAGGCCCATGATTTTGATGTTCTCGATTTTGACAAGAATCTCCTTAAGCAGGGTCTACATGTGAATGCTTAGCCATTTCCACTCTCATAACATTGTATCTATTAAGATTTAGGGTCTTCAGCAATCCATGAAGACCTAGGGAGTAGAACCAGAGAATAGGCGCTGACTGGAAATTAAAAAATAAGGACTTACTTTAATGAGACCAACTTAAAATTTAAGTTACCCCTCATCCCTAAATTTAGCTCACCTTGGTCCTGAAATCCACGTATTGTGAAAGTCAGTCACAATGTAGAATGGTCAACTTGACCTCGACAGCAAAGGAGCACAGAGTGACTCGTGAGGGATAGGACAAGGGAAGCAAGGACTTCGTCCTGCACGTCTGTATTACGCAGTTCCAGTCAGGACCTGTACGGACCTGTACATCACGGGGCATAGGGCAAATCAATGACCCCAAGTCCCTGGCCCAGACATGCTACGATCCCTCACTCAAGTTCTCCAATTTCTGGACAGTGTGGACCTTCAAGTGATTAAAATGCATAAAAAATTAAAGCTCTTTTAAAAGTCAGAGAATAACATCGTCAGACTTGGCCAATACACATGGGACATTGTGGAAAAAAGGTTATACACTAGTGCTTAACTAAATCAAGTAAAATACCAGAATCTCCACCAAAAAAGGCGCAAGAGTTTAAAAGTAACCGGAGAAAAATATAAGCACATGGAAAATATTCATCCACAAAGCAATGTCAGTTAAAACTACAAATTTTATGCTTTTGTGGATCAGTTTATTCATCAAAAACAATAGTAATCAAGATACCAAACGTGGTTCTGAGTAACTAGCGCTCTGGTAACCCTTGACAACAATCCATCGTGCTTTATGATGCTGCTAGAAAGCCATGGGAACAGAACACTTTAGTCATAGTAACATTCATACTCGCAGCACAAATGCATGTGTCCTTACTCTACTGTAAGGCAGCAAATACATCTTAAGAGTATAATACATTTTCAACAGCTTAGCACACTAGGAAAAAAAATACAGGAGCAATGTAAATCATGGTCTATCATCTATTCATTATAAATGGTAAGTTACAAGGACTGTGTAATAAAATGAAAATCATTAATACTAAAGTAGAATAGAAAATAAACTAGTTTAAAAGAGTCCAACTACACAACATTCTCATATCAAAATAGAAAAAAATTCCAACCTCATGCTGTGGTTGAAACATTGGTACAGTTTTTCTCTTTTTTCCACTTTTCTCTGCTATCGCTACCAGGCTTTTGATTTTAATGAAAAAAACTATTCGACTGTCAAAATTGTCTTTCAAAACTACCTATCTACATGTCTACCTGACTTGAATGTGATTCCCAGACCTGACCCTTTTCCCATAAACCCCTGGTTCTCTGCCCTGGAATGCTAATCCCTTTCTTGACCATCCCCCCCAATGGCTTCACCTGGGTGTTCTCATCTTTGCATGGGGTTTTTTAAAGACAGATCAGCTAACTTTCCTCTTAAAAGGCAGTGTTTCAGGTTCTGTGTGCCACTCAACCTGTCACTGTACTGTCAATACAGCCATCGACCATATGCAGATCCATGGGCATAGCTGTGTGCCAGTCAACTTTTATTGACAAGATCTGGCAGTGAGTGGTCAGATCCTTACCTCCCTACTCTGAAATAATCCTAGCAACTACTACCCTTTACAACATAAAACTAGATTTGAGAATCAGAAATGACACAGTCCTACTTGCATAAGGTATGATTTAAGTAACATTGTAATTCGGGACTTAGGAGAGTATGTGGCCTGTATTAAGGAACCAAAAAAATGACTGTTAAAAAACTTGTGAACACTTAGGCATTTAAGAGCATCCCTTCTCCTGGAATAAATTGGGGCTATGAAGAGATTCCACTGAAATCAGTCCCACTCTTATACTCAAGTCTAGGCAATCACTGAAGAATGCTAGAAAAAGAATTTAGCAGGGGTGGGTTTTTCTTTAAAAATTTCTTTTGTTTTCTAACTCAAAATGGTGGCCATAAACAGGACCAGCTGACTTGCATTGAGAAACATTTAAAACACACAGAAAGAAGTAAACTGAGCCCTAACACCCTTTCCTCTCTGTCTCAGTTTCTGACAGCATATTTTTAACCCCTTTGGATTGAGGTCATTCCCATCTTAAAATTTCAAGTCATAAAGTAAAAACAAACCATTAAATCAGAATCTAAATATGAATAGCTTTTTCCTACAAAATGTATGCAACACAAAGACAGACTGCAAATAAATCTACAGCACAGTGAAAAATCATCAAGTCTTTATTACATTGTCAGCTGATTGAAATACAGTGATGAAAACAAAAAGTGAGAAAAAGACACACCAAAAAGGAATAATTAGTAAATAAGCATGGGAAAATATTTAGCTTTTTATTTGCTAATGAATGTGATGTGAACTTGTAATTCAGAAGGCCTAAGTTACAGCAACATAGGACAAAGTGCTTTTATCTGGCACTCCGCTTTTCAAGGCAACAAAGATGGACTAATATAAATAATACTTTGTATAAATTTAGAAAACGTAGCATGCGTTGGTATTTCTGATTTATTTGCGCATGTGGACATCTGAGGAAATAACTTTCATGCAATGCAATTTTCTGCTATCAGCAGAAAAAATAAAGTATCTTACCAAAGAAAATTCTAAAACATTCATTAGCAGGGTATTTAGCAGCCATTCATAGTGATTTTTCATATCAAGTTGAAATCAATATAAATTAAATATGAAAACTACCCAGAAGGCATGCAGCACAATGAGATGGAATACAGAAACATGACGAAGGTGTCAGTGCAAGAGCACTAAGGTCCTGCTGTCACTGTTACAGACTTCCTGCGAAGGGTTTATGGCATGAGGCTTTTAAAGAAGTTTGTTTTTACCTCCCAAAACCCTATTCTTAAGGATTTCTGTACTCCTGATCATGGCTGCATCAGCTCTAACCTGGGTTTTCGCTTGGAATAAGCTACCTGGGATGTCCCAAGATTGCTTTAACCACCTCTGGGTGTCTCAGCTAGGAAAGCCTGCCTCAGTTCCGCCTGGAAGTCCACCACAGGTACTTGCTGCTGCTGCTGCTGCTGGGAGCGCCTCGGGTACAGCTGACACCTGTCACAAGAGCACAACACAAATGCATGAAAGGCTCTCGCCCACACAGGTAACCCTAAAAGCAAGCAGAGACCCTTACATGTAAGAGGATCTCCCGTCAGGGTCCAAGCACAGCATCACCTTATACAGACACTAGAACAAAAAATGGGAGTCTCTGCACACAGGAAACCAAGGGATACTTACCCATCTCAGGGATACTACCAACCAAGCAGAAAAAAACCCAGCAGCTTTTCCTGCGGAAGTACTATCAGTAGCCCCACACCCACTTCCTTTCTGATCTCCTCATCTGGAGCAAGTCTAATCCCTAGCAAAGGCTGTGGTCCTACTGATGGGAGTCTTTGTTATTCACGGCTGCCGCAATAATCACACCTGAGGTAATGTAAACAAGATGAGGAAAGCAGCTTTCCAGTACCCAAAGACCAATCAAGAAGTTCTAGGGCTGGGGCTGAGCCCAGAGCTCCTTAGAAGGGAGGGGCCTGAAACTGTGGGTCCTCCTACGCAGGGACTGCGGGACTGAGCTCTTCCGGTCAAATCTAAGCCTGCACCTAACCTACTCTAGGAAGGAAGGAAGGAAGGAAGGAAGGAAGGAAGGAAGGGTCAGACAGAAAGGTATTGCTCATGCCTTTCAACTTTCCCCTTGCCACTGCTGAACGATTAAATCTTTGCTTGGGCAATCTCAGTTCCAACTCCTTCATTCCTAAATAGAAACTCTCTTTACAATCCACAAGGTTCTAACAGTGCTGTATCCTCCATCCCACCCCCCATTTTCTTCTTGAAATTCTTATTGCGGTGTACCTCTTGGGTTTAACCTGAAACCCAACTGAAGACTGAGGATAAGACTGAGAAAGTAAGACTCATTCCATAAAGCCTTTACTTTATAAAATGCAGAGTATACATTTAGGAAGACATTTGAAGGGGGACATAAAACAGTCACAAAACTCTCCAGCCCAATTTCCAATTTCTCTCAAACTCACAGTACATCAGGAAATAGGGAAAACATTCCCCAGGCCCAAAGAGTAAGAAATGATTGGGTGTTGTATGTACTGGCAGACAGAGTACCATCAACTCTAGGGAATATCAATGAGCTATTAGCATTACTGTTGGTCTGTGGGGGTTTTTTTTTTTTGGTCTGCATATTGCTTTGGGTTTTGTTTTGATGCCATGTAGGATAAAGGCTCTAAGAAAACAAATACGACTGAAACTTCACCCACTAACAAATATCCTCTCCCATAACCCCTCAACAATACCCCCCCCCTCAACAATCTCTAAGCCACCTCAAGATATTTTTGGAGATTCTGGAAGGGAGATGGCACTTTTTAAAACTCAGGTTTTACAAAATACTAGAGGGAAAATGCTATTACAACAACATTAAAGAAAACAGGTAAATAGTAAAAGGACCAATTACATAAGTAATTCAATTTTGCTTTGTTTTTGGAATGGGATAATCATATTAGTCTTCAAACTGGTACCCAGGCAATTACTCAGGAATACTGAGATTCCTAGTACCTATGTTTTGGGGAAAGATAGGAATGAGGATGAAAATGCACACTCACACTATAATTAGTCTAAGTATCTCAATCCTGAGGATGCTGAGCATACACACCATTAGGGAGAGCTTCGAGAACATCAACACGCTCCTTACCCATTCCTGTAACTATGCTCTACACTACTTCCACCACTGAAACCTTTCCTCAGATCCTCCTCCAAGGCAGCACCCTGTATGTGAATCTGATACTACAGACTTTAGATCAAGAAAATGAAGTTATTTCTTGAAAACAACAAAAGGTTTCCCCACACGTGGACAAAGTGGCCATACCTAAAAACAGACTGAAAAAGGATGTGATGACATCACCTGTCCACACTGACGCTGCACAGTATGAAGGATCTAACAAAATGTAACAAATAGGAAGGGATCTTTACCCACTAACAAAATATCTCCCCCCAGTGGACCCTCCCTACAATAACTATCTCAAGGTATTTGTAGAGATTAGGGGCACTGGCACTTTTTAAAACTCTGAAGTTACAGCCTTGGCTGGTGTGGCTCTGTGGATTGAGTGCTGGCCTGCAAACGGAAAGGTTGCAGTTTTGATCCCCAGTCAGGGCACATGCCTGGGTTGTAGGCTGGGTCCCCAGTAGGGGGTGCACAAGAGAGGGGCAACCACACATTGATGTTCCTCTCTCTATTACCCTTTCTCTGAAAATAAAATACTTAAAAATTCCTTAAGTTACAGAAAACTAGAAGACATTACCATATCAAAAAAAAAACAAATATACTATTATAAAGGATAAATTTTGTAGAATATTCATTCATAAAAATACTTTTTGAAATTTCTAAAATGAAAATATAATGAAGAATATACTCAGAAATGTAAATAAGGTAAACACAGAATGGGGCAATCTTTAGTCTCATTGGTAATTTAAAATGTGCAAATATACCCCCTTTTCACTTTGCCAACTGGACTTGTGTCTTTAATTGGCCATTCAAGTGGGGCAAAGGAACTGTCCTTTTAAAACTCAAGCAAACTGGGTGTTAGTCTTGTATCCTGTCACGGGAAACAAGTTGAAAGAAAAAAGAAAAAAAAAAGAAATTGTGGTAATAAATATTCTAAGTCTTCATATATGAGCAAATAAAATAAGACGATAGTTACGTACTTTTCATCACTTAAAAACTTTCAAGATTTGAAGTAAAATGCAAATATTAGCAAATTTCAGATGGACTTCTCTTATCTTGTTTTTAACAGCTAATAAAAATAAAAACCTAAGATAATTATACTTAACAATTATGTTATTACACCACCCATACCCTGCAATTTGTAAAATAAGGAGGCTTTATATGCACTGACTTCCAAAGACCCAAGGCTGTTACAGAAGCCTCATATGTACAAGTCTCTAGATGGAAACAATCACAAATGCTCCCCCTGTGTCTGCGGGGACAAGTGCTGGTGCAGGAGTGTGCACAGGAACGCAGAGGAAAAGGTATGAGAGGACGCAGGTCAAACTACCTGAGAATCACCTGGGGATGGAACAGACAGCTGGAAACTTGAAGTAGATACTCCCTTGTTACCTCTCAAAATTACATTTTACGGGGACTTTAAGAAAAAAAAAAAAGCTAGCTACTGTTACGATTTGCTAGGATGACAAAATTCTTTAATGTACACTCTATATGTATCATTAAAACTGTTCACATGGTTTCAATTAAAACATCCCTTCTGAAATTCTGAACATTATAGTGTGTGTATGTGTTTTCAGAAAGTATGCAGCCATGTAATATGAAAAATATTACATGGAAGATACAAGCTACAAAAAAACACTGCACAAGGGACAATGACCCCTCAGACCCCTTCAAGGTAGGCATCTTGGAACCTCACACACTTCTCCCAGCATCTCTTCCACTGCTGGAAACACTCTGAAACCCTGTGCTGGCATCGCCATTACCTGCCCCATCATATTTTTCTGAATTTCATCAACAGTCTGAAATCTCTTCTCTTTCAAAGGTGACTGCAGCTTTGGGAAAAGCCAGAAGATGCACAGTGCCAATCTAGGCCGTAGGAGGGGCTGAGTCACCTGCATGATTTGATGTTTCACCAAAAATCTCTAGTCACAATGCTTGAGTGGGCATGTTGTGATGAAGCTGCCAATCACCAGTTGTCCATAGCTGCAGTCATTTTGATTATATTCAATCTCTCAACCAATTAAGAACATTGAGGGTAGTACCTTTTATTGTTTGGCCTGAAGAAATATACTAATAATAATGCACAACACCCACCCAAACAAAAACCAGTTAACATGGTCTTACTGCAACTTTGCCACGCCTTCTTTGGGCATGGAGAACCAAGTGACATAGACTTACATTAGGATGACTGGGCCTTTGTTTCCAGATCATGGCCATACACCCACCTTCACCTCCAATTATGACCTTCTTGAGGAAATATGGTTCATTAGTAGCAATTTCAATCAAGTCATTCAGGTCACTTTGAATCAAGTCACTTTGAACATTCTCAAATGTTCTGCTTGCTGCGGGCCTCCCAGAACGTGGATCACTTTCAACAGATTCTCGACCCTCTCTGAAATGTGTGCTCCCTTTATTTATGCTGTACTCACTGCATCAGCCCCAAAAGCTTTCTGAATCATCCAAATAGTTTTCACAGAGCAATGTTCAAGCTTAATGCAAAATCTGATGCAGATTTGTTACTCTCCTTACTCAAGCCATTTTGAATGTGACGGCCACACAGTACACATGCTCACTGAGCTGCATGTACCACCCCCACTGAATAGTGGAGTTAAGTCACCATTGTTCACCCACGTGCATTCCATTCCACTCTCCTTGGCTGCCAAGTTGCACCAATGTTGCGCAAACAATGCTCATGTTAACAATGGTTGGGCTTTTTCTGGGAAGACCTTGTATATAGTACATAAAGGAGGAAATATTTATATATTTCAAATTTTTAAGTGGATAAACGTACTAATCAAAAAAGTCTCAATATTGCAGAGCAAGCATGCATACATAAATTAACATCCATTCAATGAACAGAGCATTTTATATGCAGTTACTTAGTAAATAATAATAAAGCAGACAACTTTACTATATGTTGCATACATAATTGTATAAAGATAGAACCTACCTACACATGTGTGTAAAAAAGAAAATACATTTTCCTAAAACTTTAATAAGCACTTAAGACAACATAGTTAAGGAGAATTTCACTGGTTTTAACGCTACATCTTCTGTATCACATGTATGCATTCTGGCCCCTCACTGTGGGGGGTACTCTGTTCTGAAATGAGGAAGGACTTGGGTGGGAACTGGCTCTCAACCCAGATGGCACTCACTCTTGGTTGCTCAGGGAGGCCGTCCTCCTACGTTTGACCTGGACTTCCACCTCGGGTATGTGCTGTTCCGTGGTCCTTCTCAAGTGTAAGCGGTCCCTGGAGCAGAAAAAGGGATTTGTTTGATACGATTCATCAGTTTATGAAACTACAATTTATTTGAAAGTCATATTTATAGCTGTATTTGACACAATGGAGTTTTTTTTTAATCATCCATAATGTAATTAAAGCAAGGTACAGTGATATATGTCAATTAGTTCTCAAGGAAACTGGAAAAAACAAAGTTAAAATATTAGCACGTCTTTGTCTTCCAGTAGCCAGGTTCTATGCTAACACCAGTTCCCCCTCCATTAGAAGCCCCTTAACAAAAAACCTAGGAGAAAAATAAGAAAATTAAGCAAAAACAAAATAACATTTTGCTTTTATTCACATATAGATGTAAATCTATATATAAATATACAGAAGTACTACATACACCTAAGTACCTGTGGAAACAATAGCTAAGTTGTTTGGAAAAATAATTTTTAAAACATTAAATTTTTTATATAGTTGAATAAAGGATCAAGTTTAAATTACAAAACATCTACTTAAGCAATTTCTGTGCAATTGCTTTCTTAGGATTTGCAAAAAAAGAAAAAGGTAAAAATGAAATAAATAAAAGGGATGTGTAAGAAAAAAAAAAAAGGAAATCCCAGCTGGCGCCATGTTAGGAAGCGTGAGCGGCTCACAAAATGGCTGCCCCAGAGGCCTGGGCGGGGAGTCCGCCCCCTGAGCCATTCCCGCCAGAAACCCGAGCCCCTTGTGAAACGTTAAAGATGCTAATTCAGAAAGACAGAAGACAAGGCATTTTACAAAAGTCAAGAAAGGTAGAACTCTGGTTTAAAATTTTTTTTTAAATTCTTGGTAGATTGCGCAAAGTAACCCAGATTGCCAATAACCCCAAATAAATTGTATTATTGCTTAAAAAACTGTAACGGTCTAATCAAGCAATAATGAAGATTTAAAAAATCATGTGCAATCATTATATTTTAAGTAAGTCTTTAATTTCTTTTAGAAAATGGTTCCTTACTCATGATACCTGTTAAATTTGTTAACTAGATTTTACCAAAAGTAAAAACAAAGACTTTGCTTCAAAGGACACTATTAAGTGGGGGAAAAAAACAATGTTAGAAAATATTTGCAGTTAATAGAGCTGATGAAAATCTAGTACCCTAATTATGTACTTACAACAAAACTCAATTTAAAAAGGGTAAAGGACTCACAGACTGCTTTCCAAAAGGTGTACAAATTTCCATCAACACAAAAAGATGCTCCAGAGCGTAGTCATTGGAGAAATGCCAATCAAAACTACAAAAATATGCCACTTCACACCTCAGGAGGAGGAAATGGAGCAATTGCCAGTGGGAATGTAAACTGAAATGTTGATTGGGTAGTTAATATTTAACCCACTGACTCCATACCTACTAGACGGGATGAAATAAAAAATTTACACCTGAATGTGAATTTGCCTAGCAGTATTATTCATGATGGCCAAACATGGAAATAACCCTAAGAACATCAACTGATTAATAAACAAAGTGTGGATGGTACACCCAGCCATGGAAAGTCACTCAGCCATAAGAGGAAGAAAGGACTGACTCATACAACAGTTTCAAATACAGGGTGGGCAAAAGTACATGTTCAGTTGTAATACAAATAAATAACACAAGAAAATAAATTGTTTCAGGTACTCGGAACTGTAAACCTACTTTTTCTCACTTCACATACTTTTTAATGTATTACACATTAAAACAATAAAAATGGGCTATCATGGACCACTGCTGTCAGAGACCACTGTTATGATTCAAACTGTAACTGAGAACACCATTTCCAAAAATATCTTCAGTTCCTTTACGCATTCGTATCAGTTGCTCAGTGTGCAGAGGTCTGCATTCAACTAAGAAAAAAGAACCAGAGTATAAAAAAATCAATTTTAACCTACTTTTTAAAAGTTACATTCAATACCTATGAGTAGTTTCTTTTAAAAAATATTGAAATGTGTTCTAAATACATACACACTTATAATCTTGACTGCATTCACTACACGGAAACCAACATTTCAGAAAATTAAGCATTTAAAGCGAAAAAATTTTTTCATGTACATAACATTGTTTCAAAATCACTTCATTAAAATATGGCAATACACCAAATAGCAAAGTTTTAAGATCACACAATGGTTTTCCTTATTGTCTAATAGTCTACCAAATATTTAATATCCCTTACACCCCCCCCAAAAAAACCCTTAATATTCAATGACTAATATCTCAAAATTACAATCCACTGAGCCCTGGCTTGTGTAAGTCAGTGGCTTGCGTGCTGGCCTGTGATCGAGCCAAGTCCCCGGTAGGGGGCGGGCGAGAGGCAACCACACCGATGTTTCCCTCCCATTCTCCCTCCCTTCCCCCTCCCTCCCGCCCCCACTCTAAAAGTAAGTAAAATTCTTTTAAAAATTTAAAAAGAAAAAGGCAACGTGAGCTAACCCCAGTCTGTACATTCTCCTGCAAAAATGAGAAAAATCAGTTTTTCCAAAACAAAGCACGTGGAATCGCCCAGAAGAATCTGGGCCAGCAGCATCCATGAATCAGAAGACAAAGGACCTTCCCCGCCAATCTTACTGATCAGTAAGGGAGGCTCAGCCACACTTACTCAGGCTGCTTCGCCCTGGGCCACCAAGCAGAGGGGACACAATGGACTTCCAATAAAACCCTAATTGCACATTGAAGACAGGAGATCAAATCTAATCTTCCCTGTTCCCGCCATATTGAGGCAGCGCTCCCACTCTCACTTCAAGGATTTTTCCTAAAACTAAGTACCCTAATTAACCAATATCACCTCGCTAAATTCAATACAATAGAAAAAAATAATTAGTATCAGCTTTCGATGTCAGAGTAAAAGATTACAGTAAAAATTCCTTGATGTCCTATAAAAGTTAAAAACTATGCACATTAAAGAAGATGGAAGGGGACACAGAGCTAAGTATAACCACATATGGGAAAATATTTCTGAAATAAAAACAGAGACAGGCCAGGGAGACCAAGACAATGCAGGATAACCCCCGAGAATTAACCAGAGAGCGCCCGCCTTGGACAAGGTAAAATGGCGGACCCGCCGCCCGGCGGCCTCCAAAGGGCCCAGGGCGTACAAGCGACTCCAGAATGCAGCCAGAGATAAAAGGCGCAAATCTGAAGCACCAGAAGATTCCACAGTCCTGTTATTCTTCGATCTCCTCGCAAATAAACAATTTTGAAACAAATCTTTCCAAGATCTCGGTTTATGTTTGTCTTAATTATGTTCCCACTGAGCACAACCAGATAATTTAGGTATGATGGATGAGAAAAGAGGAAATAAAAAGAAACACATCCAAATCCAGAAAAAAAAAAAGAACAGAAAACCCCACCCCAACTAAATCCTTAAAAATGCACCTCCCCAGTCAAAATGGTGGAATACTCAACAGAACTTACTTTGTTAATTTTCGTTTTCCAACAAGTTTTCATAGTACCTCCAACTTCAAAAACAGTTAAGTCATTAATTTAAAAATCCAATTACGGACAAATATCAGTTTCTGAATCCCACGTACAACCACCAACCTGTAGCCTTCTCTACCCTTTTCTGATTCTCTCCTGTGCTCTTCTTCTTTGGCCCAGTTCCCAATTTCATATTACAGTGTAAAGGTGACATCATGAACAAAATACCCCCAAATTAAGAAACACAACCCTCTTAAGGGTGACACATTTGTGCAATCTCAAAATCTGGAAAGTGGAAATATTTATAAAAGGTTATAGGAAAAACAGTTTTCCAAAGGGTTACTAAATCCACTTTGAATAGAGAGCAGTTAGCTTGCTCATATAATACAACCCCCCAAAAACCTATGAAAAAAATAAAAAAAACTCTTAAGAGTCAGAAAAGAGATTCAAGTTGCTCCTACCAGTGATGGAGGCGGCTGCGTTAGCACCAGTGGTTGACCCTCCCTTTTCTCAGCCTCCAGGCCCCACCTCTCCCCTGGCGGGCCCCACAAGCAGAAGGCGCCCCTGCGCAAATCCTGGGCCTCACGCCTTCCGCTCTCCCCCAACCATTGTGGGGAGGGGCAGCTGTGTGGCTGCAGAGCAAGCAATCCCCTTCTCCTCCCTCCCGCAACCGTAGCTCCACTAGGCAGGGACGGCGTATGTGACAGACAGGTGAGGGGAGTGGCTGCTGCCGCCTCCAGGTATATGCTGTGCACACCCCTCCCCAGCGCGGGCCCCACTGCAGCGACTGCGCCTGCGCAACCCGACCCCACACCCTCCACCACTGCGACTAGGAGGGGAGGGGGCGGCCACCCTCACGGGCCCGCCTCCGCAGGCCGCACTGCGCCAGGGGGCGATGGCGGCAAGCATTCTTGCCGCGCAGGGGCGCGCGCTGCCCCTCCCCCACTGCGGCACTGCTGTGGGGGCGGCGGCCCCCTGCCCGCGCCTGCGCGCCCCGCATGGCTGCGGCAGCGGCCATCTTGGGAGAGCTGCACAAAGGCTGGGCTGAGACCCCGGACCGCGCGCGGCCAGCCCGCCCGCCCGCCACACCTCATTTCGAATGAGGGCCGGACACGCTTCGCAATGCCGCATCCCGGCCCTGGCACGTACTCGCCACACGTTTAGGGAGTGCTGCAAGCCCTCTACTTTATCTTGCACAAGACTACAAAGCAAGAGATTCAATTGTACAAAACAAGGGATGCAAAACAGCAAAAATGAAGGGCGTGAACATTAATGCAGCCATCCCTTCAGCCAAGGGTGGGGCACAGAATAGCCACAGCGTACTAAACCCGCTAGCCACTCATCAGACAATCGAACATTCCCTTTCTTACAAATGACGTCAACGGACCGCAGAATGCGCCCCTGCAGACCCCGCCGCCACCGCCCTGCCCTCAGGCGCTGCCGCCACCAACGAGGCGAACACCGCACCGAACCCCCACCGTACTACCGAATCACTGCCACCTCGGCCACACCACGGGCCACATTCCCATTCGCCATGCCGCCCCCTTCCCCACACCACCGCCAAGGCGGTCTCTCCACTTCCCACTCCCACCACAGCCACCGTGGTCAACCTTGAGCTCCCCGTAAACCGCCACGGTGTCCACCGCAGATCCCCGAACCACTGAAGAGGCCACCGCTCACGACCGACTTCATTGTTAACACAACACGCTCCGCCCCCTCACACCACCACGGACGCCCCACCCTATATCCCCCTCCCCACCACTGCCGACGCCCCCGCCCACCCTTTGCCATACCGTCCCGCCTGACGCAGCGAGGCCGTCCGCCATCGCTGTGAATCCCCCCCACCCACGATCATGGCCTCAGGTCCCAAGGACAAAGGGCCACCCCGCTAACGACCTCATCGGAAGCGGCAGGAGGGTGCAGACAGGCCAGAACACCCCACGATGCGGATAGCGCACAGTCTGCACGCAGAGCCGAGTCCTGCGCCTCCTAAGGCGTTCCTTGCGGCTCTCAAGAACAAAGGCTCTGAGGTTCCAGGTTCCCTTTATCTCCAACACGCTCCAGGTTCTGCGACCCCGGAGTATTAGATGTAACTACAACTGTCCCCCAGGCACGGTGAGGGAAGCTGCCCGCACCGCTGACCTGGCCCGCTCCATCGCGCTCCTGCCGCTCCTCACACCACGTCAGGCATCGCCAGCGGCCGCTCCAGACTGCGCTGGCCCCCGCCGCCGCAGCGCCAACTAATCACCCCAGTTCTGTCTGCGCATGCGCCCCACCCCGCGCCACTGCCGTCCGCGCCTGCGCGGCAAATTGCCGCAGTGCCGCGTTCCTGCCGCAGTGCGGGCGCCAGCGCCCTTCTAGACTGGAAAAACGGTGGGGTGCTGTCTCCCGGTCCCCATGGCGCTGGTGGCTGGGGAAGGGGCTCCAGTGATCACCACCGCCGCTGCAGGTTAATGATCGTGTCTCCCTATTTTAACGTGTGTGTAAAATGTTCAGAAAATGATTCTTGGTTCCCAACCAATGTGTGCGGGCACCACTGACCAAACAGTCCCGATCCACAATTAGTGGTCACATCTTGCTACAGGCCCAGCAGAGCTGTTGGTTTGGAAAATCACACTTGATGCAAAACCACAGTCAATGCACAGATGCTAGGACGCGGGGCCCTGGCTAGTCGCAAATCTACAAAGATAGTGCATTGTTCAAATTTGATGAGATTTCCCTCTTTTTCCCACTTCCTACATTTTTTTGGTAAATCGAAAGCTACGCCAAAAATATCAATGTAATTAAACTCTCCAATACAGAACGAATAGATCATTAAATAGGCAAAATTGGCTGTTCGTATTCTGTAGAACAACAACAAAAAAATGAACTTGAATCCCTACATAAAACGAGATTTTATCATACTTGGGTACATTGAAATGATTGGGTTTTTTCCCCAATAATCAATGATATCTGGCCTGGGAGGAATAGTATCGTCATACAACACAAAAGGACAACTAATTAAATTATTTTCTTTCCTAAAAAGACCCTCTACAAATGCAATGGACTCTTCAGTAACTCTAAAGTTTCCGCCTATGTATAGCACGGAAAAAAAAACAAAGCTAAGAAGGGAAAGGTGAGGACCTAATCCAGAAGCTCCATCTGCACAGTGCTTTGCATATCTCTGCCCTTTTTTCAATTGCCCATATCAAAGAACTAAGGTGGAGGTGGATTAATGGTCACTAATACAGCTCAAATCCTTTCCCCATCCCCCTGCGCCAGTGCTCTCTGTTCCCAAAGATCTTCTACTCAAGCAAGTGTGAAGACATACCAGTGCAGACTTCGATTACAGCAAAATGTTGGAAACTATATAATGTGCATCGTGGAAGTTGGGTAGGCTAAATAAATTAATGTATAAGGTGGGCAGATGTGGAAGAGGGTATGTGGGTACAAAAGGTGATGGAAAAAATAAAAATTAATGTACATATAAACAATAAAATATAATGCAACTGGTGTAAAGAAGGAAATATTAGGCTGAGCCATGTAAATTATCGACATTTAACAGTGTTTGTGAAAATTGCACAGTGACTGTGAAAATTGCAGTTTCTAATAGTTCATCCTTACATATTCATGGGAAGTCCCATAGGAAGGATGTTAGACTATGCCGCCCCCAAAACATGCCTTTGGACTCAGACTCGATTGATTCGAATTCTAGCTTTGACCCTGGACAGTAATGTTCCCTTGGGCAAGTTCACTTTCTTTGTTTTACTTTGTTACTCTGTAAAATGTGGCAGAATTTTATCTTAGTCAATGATTTGAGAATTAAATGAGTTAACATACATACTTAGAATAAGGTCTGATACAGACTTACATCTCTACGGTAGCGGTGGCTCTTAGAATTGTACCAAATATCACACTTGTAGTTGCACCTGGAAAAGGGGCTATCCAGCTTGCGTATGTATTCCTTGTCGTTGACAACAGTCCATACATAATTCAGGTTTCCTCAGTTTTAATCCCTTTCCTTTTGCAAATTAACACACATACTGTGTTCGGTAGTCCTGTTTCTTTAGGCTCCTCTTGGTTGAGACAATTCAGATATTTTAGAGGGGTTGTCTTTTACTTTTTACTGTGTTTACACTTTTTTCAGTGATCATTAAATAGTTTCAGAATGACAAAAAAACAAGTATTATTAAGAGAAAAGTATACTTAATTTTAACTCTAATGTACTGAATTGTCTAATTTTTTTAAAGACTTAATTTATTTAGCTTTTTTTTAGAGAGGGGAAGGGAGGGAGAAAGTGAGGAAGAGAAACATCAGTGTGTGGTTGCCTCTCACATGGCCCCCACTGGGGACCTGGCCCACAACCCAGGCATGTGCCCTGACTGGGAATCAAACCAGCGACCCTTTGGTTCGCAGGTCGGCACTCAATCCACTGAGCCACACCAGCCAGGGCTGTCTAATTTCTTGACCCACCTCTCACCCTTTCCAGCCTGCTCTTTCTGACAACGCTGACCACTCTGCCCATCGTTTCCGGGCTCCTCTCCTGCAGTGAGAAGCTGCCTTGGGCATGAGGGGCTCCTCGAGTCTCAGACAATCCAAAGACAGCTGCCATTCTAGCTCCTTCATCTACATCAATAGGATCATTTACATCAGCTTATAAGCCAAAACACATACTACTAGTGGGAAGGGACCTACAATACAGGGAAGGAGACCTCACCAGTCAACTCGGCTGTCAGGACTATGCTCATAGAGCCTGATGTGTCTCCCAGTGATTCGATTTTCTCCCAAGTCTAGACTTACCTCCAAGTCAAACACACAAGGGTGTGAGTTTAAAGGACATCGAATCTGGGAGAGAAAAAAACTATTCTTTACACAGCTGAAGCCGGAGAATCTCCAAAAACTGATCAGAACTTCTACATCCCATACGACACAAAAATTAATTCCAAATGGCTCAAAAGACCTAAATGCAGGTGATTAAAATAGAAATCTCTTAGGAGAAATCATAGGTGTAAATCTGCAAACCTGTGTGACCTTGACTTCAGCAATGGTTTCTTAGATCGGATGCCTGAAGCATGTGCAACCGAAACAAACAAAAAGGCAAATCGGACTTCACCACCATTATATGAAGGATTTTGCTTCAAGGGACAATATGAAGAAAATGGAAAGGCAACCAACAAAATGGTGGAAAATATTTGTGAGTCATCCAGATGGCAAAGGAACCTGACAACTCAAAAATAAAAATCCCCCCCCAAATTAAAATGGGCAAAGGATTCGTAGACAATTCCCAAATAACTGGATGAACAGATGGCCAATCACGAAAAGATGCTCAGCACCGTGAATCATAAGGGAAATGCAAATGAGTGGTTCAAGGAGATGCCATTTTATCCTCACCAGGGGACCTATATTCACAAAGACAAGAACAAGTGTTATGCGGGATATGGAAAAACCGGAACCCTCTTATGTTGCTGGTAGGAAGGTAAAACAGTGCAGCCTCTTTGGAAAAAGACTTTGGGAGCACCTGCAAATTTAACCATAAGGTTACTGTATGAACCGCAATTCCACTTTTACGTATCTAACCCCCCAAAGGGAAAATATATCTACACAAAAACTTGCACATGAATTTTTAAAAGTCTTGTTATAATACTAAAAAAAAGTGAAAACAACCCACATATCTACCAACTGATCAGTGGATAAACAAGTTATGAGGTATGATATATCTATAAAATGGAATATCATTAGGTCATAAAAAGGAATGAAGTATAGATTCATGCTATAGAATAATTGACCCCCAAAAATGTTATGCGAAGTGAAAGAATCAAACTCAAAAGATCACACATTTTGATTGAGTCAATTTATAGGATATGTTCAAAACAGGCAAATGCACAGGGAAAGCTGACTAGGGATTCTTAAATCAGGGAACAGGGAGTTCTAGGGTTCTTTATAGGATTAAAGAAATGTAGAGATGTTCAAAAACAAAATTTAAAAACGTAGGGATGATTGTAAAACATTGTGAGTCTACTAAAAAGCACTGAATTGTGCAATTTTAAGAAAGCAGATTTTATGTGCATTTCATGTGTAATTCATGTGTGCATTCTAACTCAGTATTTTTAAAACCCCAGTTGATGGGCATTCTACAAAATACCTGCCCAGTAATCACCAAAACCAGCAAAGGAATCAAAGTAAAAGTCTAATAATACTGGATGTAAACTGGAATTGGAAAACAAAGTTCAAAAAACAAAACGAAGAAAATCTGAGACACTTACTGAGTCTTGACATGACCAACAAGAGCTTTGGGAGAGGTATACTAAATTTAATGTCGCCTGGATGAGAGCCTGGAACGGAAAAAGCACATTTATGGAGACACGGAGGACATCTGAATGAAGTATGAACTTCAGTTAATACTAACGCAGCCACATATTGGTTTATTGACTGTAATAATGACGGAAGATGTTGATGGGGTGTGTGTGTGTGTGTCCACATAGTGTAGGGGTGTTCTCTGAAATAATTATATCAATATACAACTGTTCTAAAATAAAAAATTAAAGGAAGAATTGTCGGAAAAGGATATACAAAAATGTCTAACGTGATCAACTACAAAGGAGAAGGCTGGAGGACAAGGGCAACAGGGAGACACCCCACCGAAGAATCTCCATAATTCCGTTTTTAAAAAGATTTGTTATACTTATCAATTGTTCCCAATGAAAAGCAAACAAAGCAACTGGTAGCGAAAAACTTGTCCGAGGAAACCCGTCCAACGGACGCCATGTATCAGGTTACAAGAAAGGACACAAGGGAACTCGTTTGCAACATTCCTTGATAATGAATGAGTGTATCTACCTGTTACATCAAGAACTCATGGGAATCGAGCAAGATGTCTTTATTAAGAAGGGTGTACTTCAAAGAAAAGATACTCGCCGAGTCGCTAGGTCGAGTGTGCTCTTTGGGATCTCTCTGCTGTGCATCTGCCCCAGCTCCCTACCTCGGGGGCCCTTCCCAGCCTCACCGTAGTCACCCCCGACCCTGCACCGCGTGCAGCCTCCCCGCTCCGCCCCGAATTCCTCCCGCCGCTGGAGAACAAAGAACAGACCCCGAGCTCGCGGGGCTGAGGGGCCCATCCCCCAACCGGAAGCGAGGGGACAGGCCCGCGAATGGTGGAAGAAGCATCGGGGAGAAAACGTTAACAGTCTGACCACGAGGGCTTCAGCATTTAAATACGTATTCCAGCCCCTGGAAAATCTGCGGCCGGGGCAAGATTTGTACAAACCCCAGCGCCATTAT